GGGAGTTATCTGCCCCAAGAGCCTTGCCCATCGGGCAGCCGTGCCAGGCAGCTGGAGGTGGATCAGTGAGACAGTTACTGAGGGGACTGAGAAAGGGCAGAAGGGTAAAAGGGACTTTGCTTCCTGCCTAGTTTTATTCCCTGTCTTACACCCTCTCCAGCTCCACCTCTCACAGAGTTGCCACACAGCCCAGATCTGAGTTCCCAACACGTGTCAGGAAGGGGAGATACAGGTGCAACAACTGTGCACATCCCTGAGCAGACAAGCCAAGACTCTCCCACAGTCATTGAGACATCTTGAAGAAACTAAATATCCTGTTCTCTGTGTTGGGCTTCCTGTTGAAAAATTCAAACTTTCCATTTCTTTTAGCAAGTCAGTCCAGGGACTGGCCAGTGTTACCTACTGTACTCTATGTTTTGAGGGCTCTTGAAATGCTGAAGCAAGCACCAAATTTCAGTGAAACAGTGACATTTGTGAAGTCAGGGGATAGTTGTGTGTATAATGGCAGCACTTTCTTAACCAGTAGCCCAGGCTGGGAAAGTAATTCCAGGGGAAAAAAAAAAAAAAAAAAAAAGATTCAGAAACCTACTGCTTCCAAAATGGCAGTAAAAATCATTTATTGTGGGAAAGCTAAGTTTGAAACTACTAAAACCCAGTCATTTCCATCAACTCTCTCTCTACCACACACACACACACACACAGATACATGGGAAGAGAACTTTCTGAATTAATTTCCCTGAATATGTAAGGCATCCTGATACCAAAAGTAACTCTCCTTGCCCATGGAGACTCTTGTGGAATGTCCCAGAGAAATGAATGCAGCTCTGAGCAGTTTCTGCTTTTCGAAACAGCTGGTGTGACCAAACTGAATCCAGATTTAAACAGGAGGAGAGCATTGGCAAAATACTTTCAGTAACAAGGCCTTAAATCTTAGTTTACTCTCTGTATGCAAGAGCTCTCATCTGCAAACCTTATGGTTACACAATGTGGCTTTTTATGCTTTCCCAGCCTTCTCTTAGATAGAGGTTGCTTAAATCCATTCTGAGCTATGTTGTTATATCAGATACACCACAGTTGAATCTGTCTTCCCTGTTTATAGAAATGAGTCAGGAAAGTAACACTTTAAATACTTATCCATGCTAGAACAGACATGCTAAAAATTGCTTAGCTAGAATGCTGCAAAAATGTTTCGCACATATAAATAAAATTTACAGGGAAATAAAATATTAAGGCAGTCTTTAACAAAGCCCATTTCTGAAGACCTGAATTCTAGTTCCATAGTCTGTATTTAATACAAAATTATTTTTTCCTCAGTGGCTGTGAGAGGCGAGCTGGATGCCTGAGCCTGATTGCAGTCTGCCAGTAATAGAGCTATTTATATGTGGTTTAGCATGGGTTTCTTTTTTAATGAAGTTTTTGCAGACTGAGTGACACCAAATAATGGAAATATGTAAGCAGAAAAACATGCAATAAGCACAGGGAATTGGAACATGGTGTTGTCAGTGGTTAGAGAACAAGAACATCCCTAAGGAAATATTTAGAAAAACGCCTTTGTAGCTATAAAAGCTGTAACTGGAGAGCACCACGCACAGGCTTTGAGCTGTGCAGACAGTGCCACCCTCTGCTCCTGCAGAGTATGGAGCCTTTCCCTCTTACCTGACTCTTCCTCTTTCACCAGTGCAGTGCTCACACTGGCAGTGAGTTAGGAAATGACCCATCCGGATAGGCAGCTCTGCCAGTGGTCTGTCATTCCCTGCTAATTTCGTTAGGGCAGCTCTTTCATTTGGCATTCTACGCCTTCTCTTTTTTTCGCTCAGAGCCAAGATGAATAAATTTCCCTTCCCCTTTTAGGGACAAGGCCCTGTGGGTTCCTGAAAAAGACAGTTCCTATTAAGGTCTGAGAGCGCTCACTTGGAGAGGAGGCGGCACGACGGCTCCTGTGTGCAGTCCTGGGTTGCAGGGTGAAAGAATGCTGCAGCTGGCTGTGCTTGAAGGACTTGTGGTACCTTCTGATCTTTCTGTTTGAAGAACAAGAGAGAGCTCTGCAAGAAGGACTCAGACAGACTTTGGGATAAGCCATGGGCTCTTTCTCTGCTGGAGACAGAGACTGCAGTTTACACAAACAAGTCTCCCGCAAACTTACAGGAATCCCTTCACTTTAAGGCCTAATTTATAATACTGTTTGACTTTTTTTTGTGGCTTTTTAAACAACTACCACGACATTCCTCTGCTGTGCTAAACCTTATATTACTGCTGATAGCTGTCTTTCAGTATGAAGGATTCTCTTGCTCTTTGAGGCAGCCTGTTTAAGGCTGCTGCAGCTTTGTGCCATGCTTGGGCAACAGCCTCCAAACAAAGGGTTATTCCTGTAGCTGGGACTTTGATGTCATGTAGCAGACTAATAAACTAGAAGGAGATACTTTGGAGCTTTACCCAAGCATTGCATTGTTCTAGAGAGACGGGATCAAAGTCAAGAAGCAAATACAGACAAATACTCCCAACTGAACAGAACAGCTACTTTAGGGACTCAATAGTTACTGAGTTCTCTGTGAGAGGCACAACTCCAACTTTTTACATTCTTAAAAGAAAATCAAACCCATATCAAATGAAGATTACGCATTCAAGTCTTCCTCGTGTTCTTGGCATTTTCTGTGGAAGAGTATCCAGTGAAGGTCACTATTTGAAACACACATATGTGACATTCCCAGGGTTTCCTCTCAGATCTCAGCAGAGGCTCACTCTGTTAACATCCCTTTCACTCAGCTCTCCCTCACCCACTCAAGTCCCACATATGGTTTAAAAGGTCAGTACTGAGCATATGCTTCATGTTCATAATAAGGATAATTTGGACAGGCCGATAAAAGAGGAATACGTGGAAAAGGGGACTAAGTGTGTGTACCTGGCGGTTTTATTCAGTGTGACAGTAAAATGTCAGCGGGTGTTTTCATTAAGAAATAATGGGCTCCAAGGCATCAGCTCCCGGTACCCACAGGACTTCTTGGATTCCCAGTGCCAGGAAGATGCTGAAAACTACGAATTGATTTATGAGAAAAGGGCCATCAGGAACGCTGGAAACATGACATTTAACAGGGCATGTCACTGGACTCCCCGGTGAATGGAGACACTAAGGCAAGAACATGAATAACGCAGGCACAGAAGGTTGCGAGTGGCGCACCGCTCTCACAGGCAGATTTAATTTTTAATTTGTGCACCACTTAATTTTCATTCACGGGGGGCGGCGCGGGGTCCCGCGGGGCGGGCGGAGGGGCCGAGCTGAGGGCGGCCCGGCCCTGAGGGCGGTGGGAGCGCCGCGGCCCCTCCTTCGCTCCCTCCCCTGCTCCCTCCTCCGCTCCTTCCCCGCCCTGCCGGAAAGGTCCGTCTGGAAAAGCCGCCGCCCGTGCCCGGGCCCGGCGGCGCTGTCGCCCCGGAGCGCCCGGCTCGGAGCCGCGGCTGTGCCCGCCGAGCGCCGCGGGCCCCTCGGGGGAGCAGGGGCGGGGGAGCCGCGGGGCGGAGGGGCCGCACACCCGGCCCGCGGCGGTGGCGGCGGCAGCGCCCGGCTGGCGGGGGAGGCAGAACCGCGGTGCACCGCCGCGCCCTGCCCGCCTCCCTCCCTCCCCTTCCCGGCGCAGGCAGCGCCACGTCTCGGGCAGGAGCCGGCGCCGGGCGGGCGGCCCCAGGTCTGCGGGGTCCGGCCGGGGCGGGGGGCGGAGGGAGCGGCTGGGAGGGCCGGGGCCGGCTCAGGCCCGGGGGGATCGGGGCTGGCGGGGAGCAGGAGCTGCCGGTCCCGCTCCGGGCGCTGCGGGCCCCGGGCCTCCCGCTGCCCCCGCCGGGCACCCCCGGGCCGTGACCGAGCCCCGGTGTCCTCATGGTTTGGGGGGGTTTAAGCAGAATCGGTGGGTTTCGTACGGCTCCCCCTCCGTGAGGTTGGCGTGCCTGCATCTGTGTGTGTGTGTGTCTGTCTGTGCGCCACACGGGGATACAAAAGGACTGGGAAGCCGGGAATACTCGAGCCTTTGGTGTCGGGAGTGGGATGTACAGGAGAGAGCTGCTCTCCATCATTCGGTTATTAAAACGTGTTTTATGACAAGGAGAACAAACCATCTCGAGCTGGCGGGGTTTTCCCAAGGTGTGAGCGGCCAAAATCTTGCGTGCCTTTTGTCTGTAATTCCTCTTGGTGACCTGTCATGTGGAATCTATTTGCTGTACAGCGGCGGTTTTCTAGAAGTTTTATTGTAAGATTTATTATACTGAAAATCGTTAAAAAGCAATAACAAATCACAGTGAAGGTATTAAAGATTTTTCTGTTTGTGGAGGTTTCTCCTTTAGAAACGCTCTCCAGGTTTCTGGCTCCTTCCCAGCTCACCTGCATCCCCATGTTTTCCTGTATGCCCTGAGCTGTTTGCAGCCTCAGTAACGTTTGGAAGATGGTGGTGGTGTTGCTGGTTGACCAGGGCAGGGTGGCACAGTAGCAGTTACACAAGTACTCTCTGGAAATATGGAAGGAATGTTGCTCCAAATGTTTGTGTTCATTTAAAAATGCAATCAAAATATTCCTGACTTGACATTCGCCCCACAACTCCCTCTTTTCTTTTTTTTTTTCCTTATGTTTCTTTAGTGAATAAGAACCATAACATTTTGTAATCTGAATTCACCTGTCAGTAACTATTTGAACAAAATTTAAATACTTGAAGGGACTGTGTACAACACAACAGTTTCTGTCAGATTTTTTTATCTCGGACTTTCCAAGCTCTAATAACTGTTTGTAAATTTTGTTTCTAGAGGATGCAGGTCCTTGGTGATCACGCCTTTGGCTGCGAGCTGCTTTCCTGATCTGGGGTTAGCAGCTGCTTGCAGCACACCAGCAGCTGGACAGCCCAGAACTGCTCCCGTGGAACACCTTGATGCTGTTGTTGCTGATGGAGAGAAACAGGACTTGGTAGTTCACTTGGTGGCAAATTATTCAGAAGAAGAACTTTCCAGGGATCTGGATCGTTTTTACCATGGACTCCTCATCTGTCCAGCAGGATGTTCACCTGGAGAACAGGAGCAGTAATGGGGCTCCTGGCAGCCCTGAAGAACTTTTGGATTGTAAAGCCAAGTCACAGCCAGTTACTGCAGATGAAATTAACAGTAAGTTATTTCATATGCACCAAATAATTTCCTAGACTAACCCAGGCTTTTATACAGTCACATTTTATTGTTCAGATGATGCTGAAGGATTTCTTTCCTTGAGGTCAGGAATTTCTTGTAGAGCAGTTTTAAGTGAGTTTGGTGAAGGCTCTGTATATGAGGAAAATTGTGGTTTTTTGGTAGAACTTGTTCTTTTGAAAGCAAAACCCAACTATTAACTTAAGTACTGTTTGCTGTCAGTTGAGTATTTGTTGTTCAGGGTTTTACTCTGTCTTCTGATAGTGCTTCCAAAAGTGTACACTTGAAATTAGAACCAGCAGTTCTGAAATGATCGTTATGGGTGAAGCTCATGACTGGAGTAATTTATTCTGGCAGAAGAAATTTTCCTAATAAATTAAATCGTTTAGGCAAAACCCAAAATGTACTTTACAAGTCTCCCTAAACTTCCCTTTATGGAAGAGAGATGCTGGCAAACTTGAGTTGGAACGAAACTCTGGAGGTCGTCTAGTTGGACTTCAAGCCCAGAGCAGACCTGGTTCTGGAGCAAGATCAGGTTGCTCTTGGGGCCTTGTCCTGCTGAATTCTGGAAGCCTCTGCAGGGGGAGGTTCAAGAGCCTCTCTTCCCATCCCAGTGTTCAGGTGTTTTCCTTGGGATGAGTTGGAGTCTCCGTGTTTCTCGGCTGGTGTGTGGGGAGGTGTTGGTGACAAGGACGTGGTGGTGGGTGGGTGGTGTGGGTACGCACACGTGGGTGTGTAGATACACAAAAGGTTCCTTGTGTGAAGGGAGGTGACGTGAGGAAGTTGCAGCCTTCTCGTACCACGGGTTTGTCAGCCAGTCCCTGGCGAGAGAGCGAGGCCTGAGACTTTATTTACATTTCTTACACTGCCCACTGTCAGGCTGGCAGAGTGTAGTTATGTGGTGATTCATTCATCTTTCATGAAGTTGGAGATCACGTGTTCCTGCTTTCTCCTGTGTTGGACAATGGAATTGTGGCTTACAAATAGGTAGTGTGTCTTCCTACTGTTTTTATTCTAATTGCCTCTCTGCTGCTCTGAAAATGCCACAGCTGTATTGACTCTACTGCAATTAAATTACTTTAGTTTGAGTAGTGTTTAGATTCTGCATGTCTCGTGGCCTCAGGAAGTTGCCAGGAAACCATTCCTCCAGAATTTTACCGCTGACAGTAGTGAAGAAAAAAATGTAAATAAAGAGTAAACCAGATGCAGCACTTGCTGCAATTTCTGAGACACGGGCAGAAACAATATTTCTGAGTGTGTGAGGTGTCTTCTTATTTTTGGCTTCTTGTGGCTATTCTCAGCACTGACCTCTATTTCAGATTTGGTTGTGACAATCTTTTAGTTTTAAAGTGTTAGTCATTACTAAGCAGTCTTGTCCTCTGTCCTCCTTTACATACTCCCTTTCCACTGTGCCCTTAAGCATTTCTGTGACATGATGATCTAAATCAGAGAACTGATTCAGACTGCAGTGGCCTGAAAATGTTGTCTGGGTGACAAATAAGACACTCAGAAGTGTTTTGATTCAAATCTTGGGGCGTTTATGGGCTTTGGCAGCCCGAGACTGAAAGCTTTTTCTTTTCACCCACATTGGGTTTGCTGGGTCACTGTTCAAACAGCTGTGCTGCCTGGGGGAGGAGAGGTGGCAGCAAATGCTGCAGGGGTGGCAATTTGTCTGTTCCTCTTCACATTACTCTGCAGTGAAATTTGACTGCACTTCAAAGGAAACCTTTGTAAGGAAAGGGAAAACAATGAGAAGGTCCTACCCCCCTACCTGTACTTTTTTCCACATGGCTCATTTAACCTCAGGGTGCACTTTAATGTTCTCCACCTACATTATTGATGGATTGATTGATAATAGCTTTATTTTTTAGTGGTGGTTTTGCTTTCAGAAGCTTACAGTGATTCATTATATGGGGAGAAAAAGTTTAATACCAATATGTTAGTGGGCTAGTCTAAATCAGTAATTAAGGTTTTACTGAATCATTATGATCAACTTCCTGGCTGCAGAACATCATCTTAGAAACACTTTGTTTTGGGTGGATATGTTTCTCAGTTCTAGTTTGGGTTTTTTTCTTTCCCCTCGTATCTTCCTTGAGAAGACTTTTAAAAAAATACAGACTGCTTATTCAAGTCTGTAGCTCTTGAGAGGAGGGGAAAAAATGGGAAGAGAAAACTTGATTTTTGCACTTGCAAATACTTTGTGATCAGAAGTGTCAAATATTTTCAAACATCTTTTTTCAAAAAGAATGAAATCTTACATGTTATTCCAGTGAGTTCCAGATACTGCAGTGATACACAGTGTGGGAATGAACAGAAAGGCAGTGGCTATTTCAGTACTCTGCTCGTTGGAGATCTATAGTAATTGATTTAGATAGGCAGTTTTTTTGCAACAGCAGGTTCATAAATGTAAGTAGTTGCCAACCAAGCGAAGTAGAAATGTGCGAGAAATCCAAAGTATAAACCTGTGAAATGTTTAACTGGTTTTGAATGTGCATTTTTTCCTGATGGAAAAGAAAAATCTAATATTAGTAAGTGGGGATAAAATTGGTGTTAAAGTGGTTTTGAATTGCATTTTACTTGGTAGATTTTAATTGGTAGATCTGTTGTTTTGATCCACGTCAGCTTTGCTGCTGTGTTTTGGTGAAAACATCTCATTTGAAAAAATGTAAACTTGGTTTAAAATTGAAGAACTGCTTGGCCCGGGCTGGAAGTCAGGCTGGTGGATGCTTTTTCCCCAGTGCCCAGCAGAATATCAAACAGCTGAATCATTCAGCCAGGCCTGCAGTTGCTGAGTCTGGAGTGAGTAGGTTGCCCCTCAGAGTTGCTCACACTCGGTGTTTTGTGCTTCTAACCCTAACGAGGTTTAAAAACCTGTGTGAAGCTTTGAAGATATTTTGTATGATCACTTTTGAGGTCCTGAGTGAAGGCAGCATGGTAAAGCAGTGAAAAGGACTTGTTCTGGTCTTTCTGAATAAAGAACTGAAAGTCCTCTATAAAATTTCTGCTGCCAGTTGCTGTCAGTAGCGATTTCCACGTTCTCACACTTTAAAGGCAGTAGCAGTAGCATTGTATTTGGGTGGAGATGTGGAGATAAATGAGGTGGCTTAAAGTGTAGCTCAACAAAACTTTCTTTTCCAGCTACCAGTAATAACATGAACGAAGTGCCAAATGAGGAGGGGAGTCTGGAGATGAACAGCAAAGTGGACGCCTGCCAGAATGGGCCAGAGCTGCTCTTCCCTGACTCTCCTGTGTCTTTTGACCCCACCAACTGTGAGCAGGGTGAAGAGTCATCCCCAGGTGTGACTGGTTTCCATGACAGCCTAAGGAAGTCTCAGGGAACTAGTGCTGAGGGCATAGTTCTTAGGAAAGAAGCTTTGCAGTCTCTCAAACTAAGTCTTCCCATGCAAGAAACTGAATTGTGTAAGCATCCGTTCCCGGTGGTGCCCCTGCTTTCTCTTGCTGCATAAAGCTTTTTACTCTGAGCCTGGCTCTGGACTCCTGTAACATCATTTCAGCTTGAACTAAACTTCATTTTTTGCAGTAAGCTTTTACTTAGAACTACAGTTGTTTTTCTTTCAGTAAAGCACCCTGTGCTGCAGCTGAGGCATGTGCCTTCCCATTTAAAAAGGGCTCTTACGCTGAGGGGAACTCTCGCTTCCTGGGGCTGAGCTTTTCTAATCTCTGTGGTTATCAGGAGTGACAGGTGATATTAAAAAAAAAAACACAAAAACACAGAACAGCAGAACCAGGTGATTTTAAGCTAAGCAATAAAGAGGGGAAGCCTTTAAAATAAGGTTTCTAATACTGTGGGCATTTTCTGAAATAGTGGTTTTAAAAAAGCCTCACTCTGGGAAAAATTTAATGTGAGTTAACCAAAGGTAAGCAAATGTATCTGGGGAACATCCTTCCCTGACTTGCAGGGAATGAGTGGACTGCACAGGTCTTGCTTAGTTTTATAATTTTAGTACTGTCAGAAACGCAGGACAAGTGAGATAAAATTACAGCAATGTTTTTTTTCTTGCTGTATAATGTCTTGTCATATATATGTGGAGAAACTACAGCAAACTGAGCAGTGGAAGTCCACAAGCTTTATCAATGCTTACACAAGGCTGTACTTGAAGGGGGTAGTTTGAGGTGCATGTCAATGGGCTTTCCTTCTTTCCTTGCTGAAGCATGAAGCATGTTGCTGATGGTAGAAGGGGCTTTTACCTTTTGCATCACACTTGCCTGCGTTGGCATTTTCTTACACTTTGACTGTAAAGGAACCTTTCACTTACAGGCTCAGTAGAGCCTTCCCTGCCATTGGAGAAAGAAGAACAAATCAGACTTCAGGCAAGAAGGCGTCTGGAGGAACAGCTCAAACAGTACAGGGTGAAGAGGCATCAAGAAAGAGTGAGTACCACACAACACATCTTCTAGAGTCAGTGTTTTGTGGAGAAGCTTGAAAACTTTACCATTTCTGTGCTTTGAATGCAAACATTCAGTAGTTTTCTCAAATGTGAGAAAGCAGGTTTTTTTTTCTTCTTGACAGGCAAAATTTGGTTCTCTTGCCTCCTCAGTAACATACCATTTTGTGCTACTTAAAATATGGGGACAAAACCAAACACAAAACTTAAGTGACCTAAGTGTTCAATTTTGCCTGTATTTTTCAGTTAGCTTTTGGAGTCTACCTTGAGCATTTTCAACACGATATACAGAACCTTGACAGGGTTGATTGCTGGTGTGATTTACCTTGCCTACAAAAGGACCTGTGTATCTAGTATTAGTGTAGAAGTGTAAGAGCTTTACATCTTAAGTTGGAGCAAAATAAGGCTTTGATGCTGCTTCAGAGTTAACATTCTGGAATTTATTGTTGACTCTTTGCTTCTTTTAGTCGAGTCAGTCCACTTCCAAAAACCGGCCCTCCAGCACCCTGGACCCTGAGCTGATGCTGAACCCAGAGATCCTGCCGAGAGCCAGCACTGTAGCAATGACAAAGGAATACTCCTTTCTGCGGACCAGTGTCCCCAGGGGGCCCAAACTGGGCAGCCTGGGACTCCCAGCATCCTCAAAAGAGAGGAAAAGTTCCAAAGCTAAGTCCAGTAAGATCCGGTCCTTGGCTGATTACAGGACTGAAGATTCAGACCCCAGAAACACTGCTGGGAATTTCACTGATTTATCTGGTGGGACTCTGAAGCAAAGCAGGAGTGGTCCAACGTCAATTGTTTCTGAGATTAGTCTGTCCTCTGACGTGGATGACCGACTGGAGAGTTCCTCCTTGGCAGGAGACAGCGTCTCAGAGATTGATGGGAGCGAAGTGGGAATGAGGCTGGATGGGAATGAGAGTGACAGCTCTACCTACAGCAGCGTGTCAGGGAAAGGGCTGTACAGCAGTTTACAGAACCCAGAAAGCAAACAGGATACTCCTTATACAATAAATGGCCAGAAGATAGACCCTGCAGCCCTGGGGCAGTTTCCTTCCATCAGTGAGGTGCTGCAGGCTGCGGCAGTGGAGCATCGAGCCCAGGAGCCAGAAGTGAACGGGGAAGTTCGGAGCAGGAGAGACAGCATTTCTAGCAGGTACGAGTGATCACAGAGAGGCCTTTGTTGGGCACTGCACTTCCTTGGAATAGGCAGCCTCTTACTCTTACCTTCTATTAAATTTGGATCCAGTTTTAACTTGTGCTGTGATCAAATCTGTTGTTAACTTACGGATTCTACGAGAATCTGACAGGTCACTTTCCTTGATTAACCAAAGTAGCATGAATATAATTTTTTTATCTCTTTGTTACTAAGGTTGTTACACTGTGGTCTGGATCTGTCATAAAGCCAGAAAACATGTCCTACAGTCTTAGTGCCTCTTAATTTCAGTTTAACTCCTCTTGAACCAGATGAGTGTTGTATTCTAACCCTGTCACTGTGGATTTCTGTCTCTGTCTCCAGTGTTTCTATGGAGAGCTCCATTGCAGGAACTCATGATGAAATGCTGCAGGTTCTGAAGGAGAAGATGAGACTTGAAGGGCAACTAGAGGCACTCTCGCTAGAGGCTAATCAGGTAGAAAATGAGTTTGAAATTCTGTGTTTAGCAAATCGCATTAATATTTCAAATTAATCTTCAAGAGCCTCCTTCTCATTACTTGTGGAATTGTGTTTTGTAAAAACATTGTTCAGTAAGGTACTTCCCAAGGATGCTGTGGTGGGCTGACCCTGGCTGGATGCCAGGTGTCCACCAGAGCTGCTCTGTCCCCTCCTCAGCTGGACAGGGGAGAGAAAACAGACAGTGAAAGGCTTGTGGATTGGGGTGAGGACAGAGAGATCACTCACCAGTTACCATCACAGGCAAGAGAGACTCAACCTGGGGAAATGGGTTTAATTTATTGCTAATCAAAGCAGAGTAGGGTAATGAGAAAGAAAAAGCTAACCTTAAAAACACCTTTCCCCACACCTCTCCCTCTTCCCCAGGCTCAACTTTGCTCCTGAATTCTCTCCCTCCTTCCCCCTCAGCAGCGTAGGGAAACGGGGAATGGGAGATGGTGTCAGTTCATCACAAATTGTCTCTGCTGCTCCTTTCTTCTCATGGAAAGGACTCCTTGAACTCTTCCCCTGCTCCAGCGTGGGGTTCCTCCCATGGGAGTCAGTCTTCATGAATGCCTGGATCACCTCCTCCCCCTCCCCTGCGCTGACCTTGGTGTCTGCAGAGCTGTTTCTCTCACATATTTTCACTCTTATCTTTGCCGTTGTTCTTCTGCTATTTTTTTTTCTCCCACTTTCTTAAATCCTTTATACCAGAGGCACTGCCACTGTCACTGGTGGGCTCAGCTTTGGCCAGGGGCAGGTCCATTTTGGAGCCAGCTGGTATTGGCTTTGTTGGACACAGGGGAAGCTTCTGGCAGCTCCTCACAGACAAAACCCAACTGCCAAACCCTTCCCATGCAAACCCAGTGCAGATGCTGAAGAGGGTAAATACAAAGTTGTAAAGCCTTCAAAGGTTACTTTAAAAAAAAAAGTGGTGGTTTGGTATGTTTTTTTTAAAAAGTCAAATTGAAGGAGATGATAAATCCGGAGCAATGCTGGCAATGTCTGTGTAATTGTATTTTCTCTTTGTTTTAATTGATGGTGTAACACTCAGATTGGAAAGCATTCTTCCTTAAAGTGTACACATATGTATATTATTAAAAATCCTGAGGTGATTGCTGTCATACAGTGCTGTATGTCTTGATTGTGCTTTCCTCTATATTTTGACTTTTCAGGCATTTGAAATATCTGATAGGGGAGATGTCACTTGAAAAAAGAATTTCTTACAAGCCAAGTGATCTTTGCCTTAGCATCTGTTTTAGTCAGCCATGAGTGTATTTTCTCTGAAACATTCTCTATTTTGATTTTCTGGACACACTCAGGCTCTCAAAGAGAAGACTGAGCTGCAAGCCCAACTTGCAGCTTTGAACATGAAGCTGCAGGCGCAGATGGAGCACAGCCAAACCAGCCAGCAGAAGCAGGAGTCTCTGAGCTCAGAAGTGGCCACATTAAAGCAGTCTTGCTGGGATCTGGAACGAGCAATGGCTGACCTGCAAAATGCCTTGGAAGCAAAGAATGCTAGTTTGGCTTCTTCAAATAATGATTTGCAGTTAGCAGAGGAGCAGTACCAGAGACTCCTTCAGAAGGTTGAAGATATGCAAAAAAATGTTCTCACCAGAGACAGCACAGGTGGGATGATGTAAATGTCAATCTTTAAAATTTGTTAGTCCATAAATCATTTTCTTTCAACATAATTCTGAAGTCCAGGAAGAGGAAGAAATTTTAAGTCGTGCTTAATTGATGTCATACTAATAAAACGGTATGAATTTTAAGATGATTGGTTTTTATTTTGTGTCACAGATGTGCCACAGTTTGCAAACTGCCACTGCCAGCTTGGAGGCATAAATATTTAGTCCAGTAACTGTTTGACAGTGCCCTAATTGTTTTCTTGGAAAATTGTACAAATAGTGATTTGTAAGGATGACTCTCTAGGACACCTACTTCCTGATGTTTAATTAGTTCGTATTTTCTGCCTCTAAAGAACAATGAATGCTTCCAGAAGTGATTAATTTAGTTTAATTTCACTCTGTTTATGGCCTGATACTTCAGATTCCAGCACTTTTGCAGGAAAAGCCAGTCTTCACGTAATTAGGCATATATGCTTTTGTTCAACAAGAGAGGGAAAAAAGAAGCTGTGAACATAGCAGTGATCCTTGGAACTTAGTGCAGGCAAACAGAGCAGTGGCTGCTCTAGTCCAGGTTCTTCGTTTCTGTTCCTCCAGTTCACGATCTGCGGCAGCAGTTGGCTTCCCTACAGAACCAGCTCCAGAAGGTGCAGCTGGAACGGACCACGCTGACCAACAAGCTGAAGGCGTCTGAATCAGAAATCACCTCCCTCCAGAACGTGCGCCAGTGGTACCAGCAGCAGCTGGTCCTGGCACAGGAGGCCCGGGTCAGGCTGCAGAGTGAGATGGCCAATATACAGGTACTGTGGTTTACTTGCACGTGGAGAGCTGAGGGTCTGTTCTTCTCTGTGCTTACCAGAGGACAACCTGGTGGCCTTCTGGTGGCAGTGGACTGACTGCACCAGGGCAAGGGCAGGGCTGTGGGTGTCATCTGACTACACCTCTGTAAAGCCTGTGACATGGTCCCCCCCAGCATCCTTCTCTCTGCATTGGAGAGCCATGGATTCAGTGCTGGTGGATAAGGAACTGGCTGCACAGTCACATCCAGAGGGCAGTGCTCAGCAGCTCAGTGTCTGATGGACACTGTGCCCCTCAGGGGTCTGCAGTGAGACCAAGGGGGATCAAGCACCCCCTCAGTGAGTCTGCAGGTGACACCAAGCTGAGTGGTGCTGTGGACACACCTGAGGGACAGGATGGCATCCAGGGGAACCTGGAGAAGCTGGAGAAGTGGCCCATGGGAGCCTCATGAGGTTCAAGGTGCTGCACCTGGCTCGGGGCAGCCCTGGTGTCAGCACAGGCTGGGGGATTAACGTGTGTGTTCTTCAGGTGGAGACAGAAGGGGCCAGGTCGTGTTTTGTTTTTCATACTGAGGTCTTAGTTCACATTAATGGTGAGGCATAAATTTAACCAAAGCACTTACCTTTGTGGATGAAAAGTGCCTGAAATGAGGCACACATGGATTCAATGTGATTTTTCTCTTTTTTTTTTTTCTGAAATTTTTTGGCCAAATTTTGACTGTTGGTGTCAATCTGTGCCTTTTTTTCCTTCCTTTAGGCTGGGCAAATGACCCAAGCAGGTATGTTGGAACATCTCAAGCTGGAGAACGTGGCACTGTCTCAGCAGCTGACTGAAACCCAGCACAGATCCATTAAAGAAAAGGAACGTATTGCAGCACAGCTACAAAATATTGAGGTATGGCTGTAGATGGTTTTCCTGAATTAGGTTGTGTATTTACATTTTGCAGACTCAAGGATATTCTGACAAAGTAACATAGAATGCTCATGAACTGGTTCAAATGCTGCGTTATAAACCCAGAACAAATAAATTTCAGAACAAATAAATTTGCATGGCATTATGAATGATAAGAGGGAGCAAGGCCATATATTTCCTACTCAATGGTGATACTTGCATTTTCAGAGGTAAATGTTGTCATTTGCCCATTCATGAGCTTTTTCAAGAGAAAGCTCAGTTGGAAGTTAGTTAATGTGCTTTTTAAGTGTGTGACATTGCTCAGTAATCAGGTTTGCCTTTCCTGCCCTCCAGTAAGAAAAGCTGGGTAAAATCACTTTCAGAGCTCTTAGAACCTTAAATTCCACTGATTTTCAGTGACATTCCTGCTTCTGTCTCAAAGGGCAGCAGAGCAGCAGGTTATGGAAGCAGCCCATGGCCATTGTTACTAATACAATGTGTAAATAACAGGACTTACAGGTGTGTAAGGCAGACATCAGAATTACCTGTGCTTCTGTCTTTCCACTACAAATTTTTTTGATAATTTACTTTTTCCTATATTTTTTTTTCTTTTTCCCACTCTTCCCCCTCCACTGAAACTGTAGAAGTTGATCCCTTGCTTTTTCTGTGCAGGCTGACATGTTAGATCAAGAAGCTGCCTTCATGCAGATCCAGGAGGCTAAAACCATGGTGGAAGAAGACTTGCAGAGAAAACTAGAGGAGTTTGAAGATGAGAAAGAACAGCTTCAGAAAATGGCTGATTCTGCAGCAACGTTGGAACAAGAACTGGGACAGGTAGACTGTTGTTAATCAACTTCCCAAGGGTTTCAAGGGAAATACTTGTTTGGCTGAAAAAGCAATAGTAAATAGATACTGAGCTCTAAAGTTCTTTTTAAAACCTGAAAGGCTGCTGCAAAAGTGAAGTCCATATCTGTTTCAGGTGAAAAGGCCATTTTTTTTTCCAACCATCTCAGTAACAGTACCTTTTTTAAATTGCTGAACTACTGTCTTGCAGGTGCTGGGCTTTTTTAGTGAATTCAGTCTGTGATTATTGTAAGTGTAGACCAGAACCACAGACCCAAGTTCAAAGTTGTTAGGCAGTCAGGATATCATTATATACATTTAGAGCGTGATAAATCTGCACTAGAGAGTCCTGCTTTAACCTTGTAACTTAGGCAGCACGTCAAGGGCTGGAATGATATGAAATAGGTGACAGCTCAGTGTAACATCCCACGTAATGACACGGTATTATCATTAATAATACTGAATTTACCTGCATACTTACTGTGGACACGTCTTTCAACTAAAAATTTAGAATACAGTGAATATTATGAATGTATTCGGTTTGCCATTCTGGTCATTGCTTAGCCTATAAGATAACAGATGCTGCAGAAGACAATCAGTGCAATTAATGCAGAAAATAGAAGTGGCCTAAGAAAGTTAAAAAATACTTTCACCTCCTGTTATTTTCCCCTAGAAGCTAAAACAATTAATTAAAATACTTGACTTTGATTGGAGTGTATTTATTTGCAAAGGTAACCTTTGCTTTTTGTTAATTTAATCTTAAAAATACTTCTTCTCAGGTCAAGTTGACTTTGCACCAGCGAGATCTGCAGCTCGAATCTTTACAGCAAGAGCACCTGGAGCTAATGAAGCAACTGACTGTCACCCAAGAGACACTGCACACCAAAGAGCAGGCCCTGGGTGACCTGCAGACACAGTATGAGGAACTGAAGGCCAGGTTAGAGGAGTTCCAAAGTGATGCCTCTTCTAAAGATGACACAATCCAGTATCTGCAGAACGAGAAGATTGTCCTGGAAGTGGCTCTGCAGGCAGCAAAGGCCAGCAAGGAGCAGCTGGACGAAGGAGCCACACGCCTGGCGGGAGATACAGAGGTCACATCGCAGGTCTTGGAACAACTGAAGCAAGAAATGGCAGTCAAGACAAGCCAGGTAATGCATCCCTGAAAGTACCTTAGTCAAAGGAGCAGTTGCAGGGAAGGATTGCCAGGGACACAGGGTAGAGCCAGTTACGGGAGAGGAGATTGGCACATGTGAGTTTGTGTTCATGGGTAGTTGTGGGGTTCAGCTAAGGGCAGTATTTTAATCAGTTCTATCATTGTCCTTGTTTGTAATTCTGAAATCTGTCAGTTTTAAAACAAGAATTTTGAGCACAGATGGCAGTTTGAGAAGTAATTTTCCAGTGTTCTCTTCTTCTGTGGCTCTGTGGGCCAAACATCCTTCCTGTGCAGTAATTTGGTCACATTTAATTGTGCCTTTTCTCTTGAAATAATATACCAGGGCTTGTTTTTGCAAAGCCAACCAAGGCTTTTTTCTAGTCATTGAACAAGGACAAGCCTAAAGCACATCTGTATTCTTTTTCTGTCTGCTCTAAATTATGTTGAGTCTTCTGTTCACACTTTAGTTTTAGAGTTGTGTATGCTCTGTATCTTCTAGAGCATCCAAACTTCCTAGGAAGAGCTTTCTTATTGAATACTGCTACTGATGAGTTCCTGGTAATCTTTAAAGATTTCTTTTGAAGATAATAGTGGGACTTGATAGTATTACGAATGGAAAAATGATGCAAGTATATTTAACATGTTTTTTTTCCTTCGAAGAACCAACTGCTGGTTTCTTCATTTGATCATGAATGTGTGGACAGGTGCCATCCAGATCCATCATCTGTACACTAACGACATGTACTGAAACTGCAGTGGATAAGGGGACTTTGTGCATTCCTGAGGTTAACAAGGCTCACTGTGGGGTGACCTGTGTGAATGTATTTCTGTATCAGATGTTATCAACCACTGAGACACTTAGTCAGAGACAGGATCCTTGTCAGATTGGACAGTTGGTACAAGTCACAGATGCTGTCACTGGAGAAGTCACGTAGAATATGACATTTGGCATGTAAAGCAATGTTTGCTTTTCTTCCCCTTTGGCAGGTGGAAAATCTGCAACAAGAAAATGCCAATCTCAAAAAACAGCTTCAAAAAGTGAAGGAACAGTTCCTGCAGCAGAAGGTAAGCAAAAGCAAAGAAATTTCAGAGACATAAAACCAAGGAATGTACTTCTTTTTACAGTGAAGGCACGTGCTTCTGGGGGGGTTGTGAGAATATTTGAATCTATTCTTTATCACTGAACTATGTGACATTGAAAGAAAGAAACTGTGTAATTTACAGTTGAACTTCTATCTGTAACTAACGTAAAAGCTGATCCACCAACCAGTTCATGTTTTGATAGGACTTCTGGGAGTTGGCCAGATGATCCACCATAGAAAATCTCTCTCTGGTTTGTTGATTAGGTTTGCTTTTGCAAAAGCACTCATGTAAATCTTCAAGTGTTGTCATTTCCTTGCAGCACTGAAAAGTGGTATTTGCTTCAGTAATCAGATGGAAATTAAGTGCTGTTAGGTTTGAGTTTGGGAAGGCTGTTCAAACTGTCAGTCACAGCTGAGCCCTCTGCTCATGGCAGAAGTTGTTAGTGGTGTGCATGGGATGGTTAGTTTTTGACAATTAGTTTAGTTTTTACAAATGGCACATAATTAGTGCAGTTCCATAAAGGATGTGAGGAAGAGTATCCCAAACTGCTGTGAACACTTTGGGGGTGGTTAATGAACCAGTACATGGTGTTATTTGATCTCTGGGCTCACACACAAGCCTTAGAAGCACAGTAAGTGTGGTACAGAATCTGGTGCTGGTTTGTATGACACACCTCCCCCAAACTGAGAGAATAGCAGTAAATACTTTCCACTGAAGTTGTCATGAATCTGTGAGGCTGTACCAGAGGTGACACTGTCCTCTCCTAACTCCAAGGTGATGGTGGAGGCTTATCGAAGAGATGCGAGTTCCAAGGACCAGCTGATCAGCGAGCTGAAGGCTACAAAGAAGCGCCTGGACTCGGAACTGAAAGAGGTCAAAAAAGAGATGCTGCAAATTCAGGTTGAGAAACAGTCCCTCGAGTCTGAGAATTCGAAGCTCCAGAAGGAAGTATCTCAGGTTCACCAGCAGATGGTGGAAATAGAGAATCATCTTCAGTCCGTGCAAAGGGAACGAGCCGATATGGAAACACGCCTGCAGGTAGGGAGGGTGTAGAGCTTTGGACCTGGAGAGTGTCACTTCTGTTAACTTTAGAAATAAGCATAATGATCACCTAAGAGATAAGGTTCTTGGTTACATACTTAAGATTCTCTAGACACTTGAGCATATACCCACCAAAATTGTGTAAATACACGACTGCTTGATGACAGGAGTGATGCAGGTGTGATGCAAGTAGTTTCCTTGGTCCCAAAGTGAACTCCATCTGAGAGCAAAAACCAAACTAGAAGTCTGTTCCCTCAGAGGGAAGAGTTAAAAGAAGAAATAAAAGGGAAAGAACACAGAGAACTGTGGAACAATTTATATTTAGAGATAATGTAATTTTGAAATTTCATGCTCACTCTTTTATTATCCAGCATTCAGCAAACATGCTTTTGTTCTTATTCTCATGGGTGCTCTTTTCCTTCCTCTTAAGTCTTTGCAGTTTGATAAGGAACAAATGGAATCTCTTGCTGAGGCAAATCAGGCTTTAAAACAACAAGTAGAACAAATGCAAGAAGAAGCAAAAAAGTAAGTGTTCTTGTAGCACAGACAAAATAACTACAGCATTTGTTTTTCATATGCACCTTTCTAGCACTCACTCTTTTCCTATTCCCTGGTCTCTCCTTTTGGAAGTTTACATACTCCCATGGCACGGGAGTTGCATCTTCTCTGATTCACTTATGCTTTCAACCAGCAGTCTCTGCCATACACCATACAGATTGGAGCTAATCCTAATTACCATTCACTGAATTTCAGCCTTGACTGGCTGGAATGTCGGCATTAATGAGAATCATTCTTTTTTTTTTTATTTCATGGTGATCACAGGGTTTTTATGATATCTGGCATATCCATCAAGAGTCGTAGATTAGATTGGATTCTTACTCTAAATTCTGTGTTATTTTTAGAGGTAGTAATATATTTCTTCATGTTGGCGTTTTAATAACTCTGGCAAAGACCTCTTAATTACCCATAAGTATTTCCTTAGAATGCTATCAAGAGCCTTCATTTCATTGTCTTTCCAACCTGATGACTTTCTCTGATGAGGGGGGTGACTCTGGGACAGAAGGAGAGAAGCGAACATTGGGGTTTTTTTGGGCCACGTGAAAAAAACGAATCTTTCAGTGCTGCTTTTCAAGCAGTTTTTGGTCTTACCTGGTGTTTGCCTTTGCCTGCAGGGCCATTACCGAGCAGAAGCAGAAGATGAAGCGCCTGGGGTCGGACCTGACGAGCGCTCAGAAGGAGATGAAAGCCAAGCACAAGGCCTACGAGAACGCCGTGGGCATCCTGAGCCGGCGGCTCCAGGAGTCCCTCAGTGCCAAGGAGGCTGCTGAGGCAGAGCTGAGCAAACTCAGGGCACAGATTACTGATGATGGAAACGATCAGATTGCTCAGGTGTGCAGTGTCCTGGGGCACTGTACAAGGACAGAGCTATCTTGTTATTAAATATAAGTCTTGAAATACTGTTTTACCCTGAAGAGATGAAACTATTTGGAATATAAAGCCTAGGTGATAAGGTGGTGTCAGTGTTCTGAGTACTGAGAATTTACCTTGGAGAGAGGTGATTTGGTAGGCTTTGGTTTGGTTGGTGGGGTTTTTTTTATTTGATTTGTATCCTTCAGATTATGAATTGTAATCCAAGCTCAAGAGGATCATTAGCCTTTGTGCTAGATTTCCTGATTGATTTTTATTGTTGGTTTGGTTTTAGGTTTTGGGGTTTTGTTGGGGTTTTTTCTTTGTTTTTTTTTCTTAAAGGATCAGTATCTGAAGATTTTCCAAAATTCCAAGTCTTACTGCTTTTTTTTCACTGAACTCAACTGAGTTAAAGGTTTTCAAGGTAGCCATAACTTACCCATATATGTTATGGCTGTGATAAGAAAATTAATTTACTGGGGGAAGCTCCAACTCCTTGGACCAGTGGAGCAGGATATCAAATACACTCAGAGCAGCAGCTGGATGCAGGGGTGGAAAGCTCTGAGCAAGACCTTTAAATTAAACACTGGCACCTCATTTTGCATTTCCTAGGGAAGTGGGCTTTTAACCACAGCAAAAATCCTGCAGATGGGTGATGCACTAACCACACGTGTGATCCCTTTGTCTTTAGGAAAAGATTCAAGCTCTGAAGGCAGAATTGCGAGCTGTGAGCAGCAGTAAGTTGATGCTGGAAAAAGAGTTGCAAGAAGTGATTTCACTCACCAGCCAGGAGCTTGAAGAGTACAGAGAGAAAGTGCTGGAACTTGAGGATGAGGTGATTGCTTGGGTTTGCTTGGTGCATGAGTATAAAGTGCCTGGAAGACAGGGAGACATTTTTAGTACTGTGATTTTATTCCAGCAGTGCAGGAAATCAGAATCTTACATAGGAAACATCATGTCAGGGATCCTTGCTAATCTTGCTGCCTTGCGGTGGCTCTTTGTGGTTTCATGAGTCATTGTTGTACAGGGAAAAAGGATGAGAAAGAAAAATAGTTCCTGTATTAGATACCAGCTGTGTCTGGTCATGAGACACTGAGGATGCATGAATCATTAGCTGTTGGAACTGTCTGGAGTCATGAATCCCTGGTGATTATGAGGGCAGGGTGGTGATGTTCAGTTGTAGAGTTACACAAAAAAATTTATATATATATGGGCTACTCTTGATCTGCACCTAAACAGTACCCCTGGATTCTGCTTTCTGGGAAGCATTTTAGTCTTCCAACACACACCAAAAAAAAAAAATCAAAGTGAACTTACATGTAATGTTCATTAAAAAAATTAGAAAAGAAAAGAGAAAAGAAATCCCATTCTGGAAAAGCAAGACGTTTAATGAGTTCAATCCACAGCTTTTTTACGTGGTAGACTGGAGCGATTTGGTTATGTTTGATTGATGTGTGGTTTTCTTTGACTGCAGCTTCAGGAATCCAGAGGCTTCAGGAAGAAGATAAAACGTTTAGAAGAAATTAATAAGAAGTTGGCCCTTGAACTGGAGCATGAACGTGGCAAACTTACAGGTCTCAGTCAGTCCAACGCTGCTTTGCGGGAGCACAACAACATCCTGGAAACAGCCTTGGCCAAGAGAGAGGCAGACCTGGTCCAGCTCAATCTGCAGGTACTTGGCTTCTTCATGTAACAAATTAAGAAAGGAACTACCTCTCGTGATACAAAGTTGGTGCATTTTCTCCAGCTCTGGGTCCCCCCTGTGTTGTGTGACAGCAGCAATGTGGGGGGGGCTAAACCAGAGATAGAAAGGGGACTTTATTTCCTTTGGAAAACAAATTATCAGAGTTGCACTATAGCATTTGCAGTAGTGAAAGTGTGGCTCACTTGAGGTTGTTGGAACATACAGACTGTGTTACATACAGATTCATTGAGATGGACCATTTTTATGCCAATAGTAATGTTTTCACGGGGTATAAGCAAACGGGACTGTGGGCAATGAGCTGCCATGAAACCATAGCAGTTTAAGGTTAAAGGGTACCCATGTGGAAGGAGTGATCAGTGAACAGCAGAGAGACAAAAAGTTGATTTTGCGATCCCTGCACTGGTTTGTGTTTGTATTCCCTCTTCTTCCAGTGAGCCCCCACAAAATGTCACTTATTTTTGTGATGATGTGCTACAGGTTCAGGCAGTTCTGAAGCGGAAAGAGGAAGAGGATCAGCAAATGCAACAACTTATCCAAGCCTTACAGGCTTCCTTAGAGAAAGAAAAGTTAAAAGTTAAAGACCTTCAGAAGCAGGTAATGGCTTATCTTTTATTTACTTAGAAGGTGATTTAAATGTATTTTAAAAGCATCTTGAAACAAAATCCATGCTTTGTAACAGACTGCTGCTTGCAGGTTTTTGTCATGATGGCTAGTGGCTGATGGATCAGGGATGTCTTCTATGTTGTGCCCTGTGTTAGTCATGCTCATTGACTGTCCAGAAAGTTCCATTATGACTTGCAATGCATGAGACCTCTTGAAGTGATGGTGCTCCATCCTAAAATTCACAACAAAGCAGCAGCCTGGCAAACAGGCTTCTTCCATTATAGTTACACACCGCTATTAATCGCCATTAGCATTAATAAAGACACCAGTACCTCAGTGCTTTGGACAGAAAATGCTGACAGCTGCACAGTCTCCTCCTTGACTGGTTCCACACTGCTTTGGCCCAGCATCCCTCCGGTGCTGAAGCCCAGACACCTCTGTTTTCCCGCAGGAGGCAGCGGCCAGGGCGGACGCCGCGCACAACCGGCGGCACCACCGGGCGGCAATGCTGGAGCTCAGCGAGGTGCAGAAGGAGCTCCACGCCAAGGAACTGCTCGTGCAGGCCCTGCAGGCTGAGGTGGACAAACTGCAGTGAGTAAAGTTCTTGGTTGAGATCTTGGTGAACAGTAATTAAATCCTCTGAAAGAAGCCATATGTTAGTGAATTTTTGGCTTTGCCGCTCTGGAGTGGATTATGTTGAATGTTCAGGGCCTGACTGAGATGCCTCTCTGGTCTGCATTTTTCTCCCTCCATCATCCAGGCTGACCTGAAGTGCACCGTATTTAGGCTTCACTGTCTGCTTTTCTTCTACTTTCAACACAGACTTGCACTATTTCATGTTACTAGTAAGGATTAGCATTCCATATATGTCCTATTATTATCTCTTTCACATCCCTGACAAACTACATAGAAGATTAATTATATTAAAATTCAGTTTTAATTGAAGATGTTTTCTTAAATTGTAAGGAGTGGTCAGAGCTACATGAGAATGCATATAAGGTTAACCCTGTTCCTCCTAAAACAAAGCAAAATTGCTGACAGGTTCTTGTTTGGATTTTTTTACTGCATGATCTGTTGTTTGTAACTGGACTGTTACCAGAGCTCCAAAAATTTTAATTTTTTTTTTTCAGTATTTAATTATCTGTTTCATAAACTCTTCCTGTGATTTAACTCTTGCTGTGAATGTGTTGGCAAAGTCTTCAGTCAAAGCTATAACTAACCAGTTCCATGCACTGTCATGGCACTTACAAGGCTAACCCAGTGGAGGACTTGTTTTAAAGGACAGATTGAGTAACTGCTGTGTCTGTTGATCCTGCTGTGCAGGGCAGAGGATGAAAAGCATTCCCAGGAGGTATCCCAGTTTCAGCAAGAGCTGGCAGAAGCCAGGTCTCAGCTCCACCTTCTGCAGAAGAACCTGGATGACAAGCTAAGTGAGCAGCCTCTAGTAAGCCAAGAGGTAAAAAGTGAACACTGACTGTGTTCATCCCTACTTATATTCTTATATTGACTTTGTTTGTCTTTAATTCAGCATTTTAATGAAGCTTTGATAGGTTTTCCTGGAACCAGGAATGGTTCATGAGACATAAGAATGTATTTTAGATTTTGTGGTTGATTTCACCTGTAGATAATTCTAAAGATACTTTTTTTTATCTGCCCTGGCAGGTGGAAGACCTCAAGTGGGAAGTAGAACGAAAAGAAAGAGAAATTGAAACACTTAAGCAGCAGTTGGACATGACTGAACAGCGCAGCCACAAGGAGTTGGAAGGGATGCAAGTTGTCTTGCAGGTATTTAATCTGCAGGCAGTGGAGATTCTGATGGAATGATGGTTTTCCCCTGAAAACTGGGGAAAAAACAAACAAACAAAAAAAACCCAAAAAACCACCCAAAAAAACCCACCAACCAATAGCTGGCTGGAATTTTTATACTGTTTCTTTATCTCACATTGATTCTCTTCCCATTTAGAATATCAAGACTGAGTTGGAGATGGTGAGGGAAGACCTGGCAGTGACTCAGAAGGATAAGTTTATGCTGCAGGCCAAAGTGACTGAACTGAAGAACAGCATGAAGTCACTGCTGCAGCAGAACCAGCAACTGAAGCTGGACCTGAAGCATGGCAAGATGAAGAAGGTATTTCAATAGGAAGAACACTCGTTGTAGGGTACAGGAAAACACTCTGCTAATGCTCCTAAATTACCTGCCATGAATGTGCCTGTGATTCCTCTCTGTAATGCAGATATGTACCAGTAATGTGGTGGGAGACACTTTCTAGGTACTAAAAATTACATTGATGAAATAGCTTATTTGTATTTCTCACTTTTTTCCTTTAACCAGAGGAAGGAACTCAAGGGAGAGAATAACTCTTCCAATCCTGTGACTCCAGTCAAGATTCCTGATTGTCCAGTGCCTGCTGCCCTGCTGGAAGAACTCTTGAAACCATCGACAGGTGTGAGCAAGGAGCCTTTGAAAAACCTGAACAGCTGTCTCCGGCAATTAAAGTATGACCTCATTTATTTATTTATTTATTTATTTGTGTGATTTTCAACCATAGTCTTAAAAATGCTTCCAGGAAACCAGCTGCCAGCCTAAGGGAGAATAGGATTTGTAAAATGAATTCTTTCATTAGGACTATATTTAGGACAGTAGGATGTTCTGTCATTGTAAGTGCTGCCATTACCATGGCAAAAGAAGACTTTACAATAAACTAGACAAAATGTCCATCCTGGATTGCACACAGCAAGAACAAACCAGAAACAACTAGTACTAGTTTTTGCTGGTGGAAAAGCTGGCCCTTACTGTTGAATTGAGCATATTGTATTTGTTTGGTCCAAAATTCAAGAAGACAATTCCTAAGCTTCCTGTAGATTTCTTTCTCTCGTATGCAGCTATATCTCAGGTAGTCTTGGAGTAGATATCAGGAATCAGAAAAGTAAACTTTTGATCGTGCCTGTAGCTTTTAGTTTTGTGCTTGTTAATTTTTGCTTTCTTGTTCTCAATACTTCCCAAGGCAGGAAATGGACAGCCTGCAGCGTCAGATGGAGGAACACACCATCACAGTACATGAATCAATGTCTTCGTGGACTCAGATTGAGGGGAAGTTAATGGACCTTGGTTCTACCAGTCCTGCCACTGCATCAGACCAGCAGGAGATTCCTACTGCAGATGAAAAGAAAGAGAATTTTAGTGTTAATGACAAGGAAGGTTTGACACTATAACCTCCTTATCAGTTGTCTTTCTTCCTACTGCTTTAAGTGTATAAACAAATCTTTATAAAAATTATTTATTTCATTTTTTAAAATGGTGTTCAGAGCTGTGCTTTTGCCTATAGAAGCAAAAGGCACAGATTTGAGAAACTGAGGTAATAGTAAATGCAGAACGTGCTATTCCAAGGGTTTGCTTGAAACCTTGCCATAACAATTCTGTCATGCTGGGGACTGCCAAGTGCTGAATCTAGCTCAGCTGAGGGTTTAGTAAGAGATTCAGGTGAAGGTTTAAAATGAGGTCAAGAGGAGCATCTGGTTCCAGGTCTGTATTTGTTCAATCTGATTTTATTGAGGAACTACTGTTAATTTCGTAACATTAGGTTTTTGTGTTTGTTTTTTTTTTTATTTGGGGGGAGAGGGATGTGTTGTCTTTTCTCCCATCTTTGGTTGTAGCCAAATGACAGTAAGTTCTTATGTCCAGCCGTTAGCAGCAGTTGAGAACTGGATAATGCTGAGCATCCTCTCTCTTCCCTCCTGCAATCTTTTATTCTCAAAGTTCAGATTATAGATATCTGTATTTAAAGAGAAAAAAAAAAAAGTCATGGTAAGCTATTTCCAGCTAGGAAGATGACCTCTGACCTACAGCAGAAGAAACAAGACTGTAAAGATGAGCCCTGCAGAGCAGTTGGTGTCTCTGGGATGTTTCCTGAAGCATCGGTTTTTCTCTTACAGTCGCAGGCCAGTAGTGAGCTTTGCTTCACTGCACAAACACTTTGCACCTTTTTAGTTCAAGTTTTGAAGTAGACACCCTTGAAAAAGTATGTGTGTAAAAAAAAAAAAAAAGGTATTTATATATATATAAGAAAAAGATCATAATTTTCTGACTTTGAATATCTGGTTTAATATGCTTATATACTGTAAGTTAAGGTTGACGTGAGGGTTTTTGTTACTGTCATTGTTTTAAAGTTACATTTAAGTTTGCTCTTTTTTGACATACTGTACCAATGGCTTGGGGAAATTGGCTCCTAAAGCCAGAGCTTTCAGAAATGTAATTATTTTTACTTTAAAAGACATAATTATAATGCCTATAAGATTATTATTTTTAATAGCTTTATCTCCCCCTCACACGCTTCCCCAACTTTTTTGCAAAAAAAAAAGAAAAATCTGGTAAGTATAAGTGGATTCAGTGGCTGGGGGGAAAAAAAAATTGTAGTTCATCTATTTTTCCAAAGAGACTCTTTCTGCTTTTGGATGAGTTTGGTTGTTGTGGAGGAATGAGAAGGATATTGCAGTTTGTTCAGCAGTAAGGCAAAAAATAAGCAAACTAAGAAAAAACCCAAACCCATTTATATTTATCTAAAGTCTGATTTCTCATAATTTCCAATTTAAGCTCTAGTCTGCTTGAACACTTTGCACTTCAAGAGTTTATCCTGAATGATTTCATGCCCTTCAGCTACTGGATTTTGACTTATATTTTACTGGGATCAAAGTCAAGGGGTGCTGACAAGTCAGGGTTTTGGAATTGAAGGAAGAAACGCATTTGTGTGGCATTAGGTGCCCGTCCTACAGATCTACCAAACAATTCAAAGAGAAGTCAAAAGCTTTACTGACTAGCTTAGACATGGTAGTGTCTGCACTCTGCTGCAGTCTACTCTGTAGAGTAAATGGTACTGATTATTTCACTGTTGTCATGTTCTTGAAGTTGCCTGTATATTAAGCTCAAAGAAGAGAAAAAAAACCACACCTCAGTATTGTTAAAGAAAACATTAAAAGTATGTAATGAATAATATATTCAGGACAAAAAACTACCAAATGTCCAGGATTTAAAATAACACTTGTGCAGCGTTAATGTTGCTGTTCACTTTATTAAATACAATGCCTACAGTTAGGAATCTCTTATGTTTTAATTTGTTAAGTTTGGCAACACTTGTATGGATAAAGGTTTTATCTGGTATCAAAGAAGCCAGAATTGTTATAAACCTGCATAGTTGTTCTGAATGTCTGCTCTCCTTTCTGCATCAGTTCTGCACTCTGCTGCATTTCTCACCAGCTCCTGAAGACACCTGAGCTTGTGCAGTCCAGTCCCTTGTCAGGCTGAGGGAGCTCTTGTGCACAGATCAGATCCCCACAGTGACCCACCTGGACACTGGGTATTTTTGTGTTATATTCAGGCTGTGTTTTTTTTCTATAAACAAAAGCACCATGTCATTTACTTTAATGAAGGACAGACAGGGAGACTTGAGGGTCTAAATCTGGTGAGGTACTGAGTCATTGGGAAGTCTTCTAGAAGGAGCAGCAGCGTGGGATAAAAGCAAGGCCTTTTCTTTGAAGCTCATCAGTTAAGTTTCCTTATTAGCCAGAGGAGTAGTTGCTGTTTTATCAAAAAGCCTCACCCTGAGCATGCTTGGTCTGCAAAGCTGCAGGTCTCTGCTGTCTAGGCAATAAAACAAACTAGCTGTAGAAAGGAAAACTGCCTCCCCCTCTGCCTGTCACAGCACTGCCAAATACATCAGAGGAGAATCTGAAGAATAATATCTCAAAGATTTTTTTGTTTTCCTTTTTCGAGCACCGCAATAGAATGTATTTCTGTGTCTGTTTCCTCAGTAGTTGCTGCCTACTAAACCAAGTGTTACTGATGAAGGAAGAATGTCACTGCAGTGTGAGAATGTTCCCAAGTGCTGAAAGCTGGTAAATGCTGCAGTGTTACTTTTTCAGATGCTGTTTTGAGGACTCTTGAGTAACTGTGCATTAAAAAAAGAAATCACAACAAAGACCAGCAAATTCTACAATGGAGAAAAATGTTACTGAGTCTCTGGCATTGCTGAACATTGCATAATGCTCCATTCTATTGTCTTCCAGATTTCTTGGAAATATTTGTGCACTGTATTGGGATCAGCTGAGCCCCTTACCCACTCATATAGTGATCCCATACACTTTATTCAGGCAATATCCTAGCTGAGATCTGTGAGACTTTCACATGTGTGTAACGTAATATCAGGGATGAGAGTTCTGGTGGTCATAATTTCATGGATTGTGTCTTTCTCCTTACAGGAGAGAACTGCAGTGGCATTGGCTGTTTCAGTGCTAGCTATGACAACATCAGAGGTGTGCTGGGGACAGACAGTATTATCAATATAAATTTAACTTAGAGATGACAGATTCACTCCTGGTGATGCAGAGGATTGTGATGTACGTTTATTAACCTTGTGGGGAAAGTGGGAATAGTTGCATGTGACTTACTGTGACCAGAGCCTTTAAATATTTTCATGTGAAAGGAATTACAGTCCAAAGGAATTACCAATGCTCATCAGCATCTGTCTCTTACCTGTAACACTGAGTCTTGGGCAGCCTCATTTCCAATACAGATGCACAGATTTCTAGGGAAGGGAAGGATGTTCTGGATATTGTAAATGAAATGGTTCTGTTTCATATATGACATTCAGTAATGTCTGCTTAGGCTGTATTTGTAAAAGGTAGAAGTTAATCATTTCATGTTCTTGAACGGATAACCCAGGGGCTGGAGGAGTTACACTATGTACACTTAATGTTTATGATCATACAAAGCATGTTGATTATAAAAATTATGTGCATAGGGAATTCCTTTAAAAGTTTTGTGCAATAAACTATTTTTGGTAAAGGGCTCCATGTTGTTTCTCCTTTAAGAATTACCATCTTCGATTTGATTTTGGGCAGTAATTTTTATGTTTATTGATTTTTTCAGTTTTTTTCTCACATCTAAACTGCATTGTGCTTGCGTTTGCGTTGCGCTTATTTTTTCTCAGTCAGCCGAACGCTTCAGGGAAGAAATGCAATTCTTTGGCCTGAATTTGCCGACTTCTTGAGTGTACAAAGTGTGGAGGGATGCAGAAACGTGATCTTGATTCTAACTTAGCCACGTGCAATGATGAGGAGAGAAATTATTCTAACTAGCAATATTAGTGTGAGTTATTTTCTTCTTTAAGGACAGGCACTTGCCCAGCACGTGACGGCGCTGCTGTGGAGCAGGTCCGTGAGGTAGGAAATGTTGTGCCTGAGGGGATGGCCAATTCTTATCTGCGAAGGAACTGCTTTCCTTCTCCTGCATTAGAGCCTTCCTCCTTCATGGCTTTCCATCTCTGCCGCCTTATCGGGAACCGCGGCGGCGTTTCGAGCTTGCTGCTTGGGCTGAGCCTTCCTATCTCAGGAGGCCTTTGGGAGCGCCTGTGCCGGGCCGCTCGCTGCCGAGGGCCGAGCGGCTGCAGTTCGGGCCGTGCCCGCCAGGCCCGCCGGCCCTGAGCGCGCCCAGCGCCGCTCGGAGCGCCGCCTGGCCCGCCGGAGCAGCCGCGCCGCGCTCGCCTCGCTTCTCCAGGGCCCTTCCCGCTGTCCCGGTGAGGCCCGAGGAGGCGGCCGGGCCTCGTCAGCGCCGGGCGGAGCCGCGGCGGGGCCCGCGGGGGGGGCGCGGGGCGGGGAGGCGGAAGCCGCGAGGCCGCGGAGGTACCGGCGGTACCGGCCGCGCCCGGGGCCGCGGGCCGGGCATGGAGCGCTGGGCGGGGGCCGCCGGCGGCTGGGGCTCGCTGTGGGGAGCGGGCTGGGGCCGATGGCCGTGCTGGGAGCTCCTGGCCGCCTGCGCCGTCATCGGCGCCGTGGGCTGGCTGCTGCGGCTGCGGGACAGGAGGCCGGGCGGCCGCCGAGCCGCGGCCATCGCGCCCCGCCCGGCTCCCGCCGCCTGCCCCGCGCCCTCCGCCGCCGCGGGGAGCCGGCACTGCAGCGGGGCCCGCCCAGGTGAGACACTCGGGGCCGGGCGGGGGTGGCGCGGCCCCTCGGCCCTCGGGAGGGTCAGCACCGGGCACCGCCCGCGGAGGCCGCGGGGTCCTTCCCTTCCCCCGGCCCATCCCTTCCCGCGGCCTTTCCCTTCCCCCGGCCCTTCCCGCGGTCTTTCCCGCCTCCCGGTGCCGCTGTCCCAGGCGGAGCTCGGGGATCTCCCTTGGTCCCCGCTCCGCTTTGTCGCGGCGGTGCCGGCGCTGCCCCCACCCCGCTCCCGCATCGCCCCCCTGCGCTCCCCAGCGCTGCACATCGGCGCGCCTTTCTCTTTCATCGCCAGTTGTTCTTAATTTCCTCCCCCTTTCCTGTTTTCCCGTGGCTTATTCCGAGTTTGTTTAGCAGTTCTCTATGAGCCGCGTAGTTCGGAACCGCTGCTGGCTAATTTGGCGGTGCAGACAGAACACCCAGCCCGTGGCGTGGCCACGGTTGTGCTGCCCTGTGCAAATCCCGATACAGCCAAAGACAGGATGTGACTCTGCATTTGCCTCTAAGGACAAACAAAATAACCCTCCATGTCTTCTTAAGTTACTAATTTATGGAAGGATTTAATGAGCAGTAGAGTACAATATTTCTGCCATCCTTAAAAGTCAGTCCTTCGTTCTGCCGTGGTAATAGTGGTAATAGCCTTAATATTTTTTTTGGAAACAGATTCTGCTTGTTTCGTGCTGATGCAGTGACACGAGAAAATACAGTGCCCACCCATTCTTCCAGGTTTTGATTGCTTTGGAAGAGCCCTCAAACATGGGGTTGCTAAAGCAGTTATTCCTATTTGTAAAGGTAACTTGCACGGGCTTGCGTGCTGAACTGCAAGAGGGAGCTGCGTCAGTGCTGCCTCTACTCTGGATCATTTGTAGTTACATAAAATGCATTTTAAGGTTCAAATAATCCCCTTTTGCACCTGCTTATAGCAAACAGTTGAAGGATTACCTTAAAACAGGCAGCTGCTGTTCCTCGTGTTTGCAAGTCACACCTTCTGTTTTGGACAGATCAGAATAGGTGATGCAGGTAAAAATCAATGAATGCTTACCCAGGGTGGCTGAAATCTTACTGTCAGACAGAGATTTCATGGGGGTTCTGTGTTGTCGTTCCAACAGTGTTTTCCCTGTCTCCACAGTAAGCTTAATGTAGAAAACTCTTAATCCTAACAGTAGATCTTAAACCAGAGATTGACTTCTTCACTGTTGGTCTGCTTTGTCATTTTGCTTTGGTTTAGTTGTGCCAGAGTTGTAATGGGCACACAAATATTTCCTTTTACATAATGAGAAAGCAAATTTTGAGCATTAAATTTTAGGTGCCAAGTTCAATCAAAAGATAAGAAACCAGAGAATTTATTCCTTCCCAACGCTTTTTTTTTGCTTAACCACAAGGCAGGAGGAAGGATTTTTGCGTGTTCCTGCCTGTTCTCCATACATGAATTATATATATGTACAGGTCTGCTCTTCTGCAGAATGATTGTGCTAGTTCTGAAACCTAAAAATAGGAGCCTTTCTGAGTTAATTCTTCTAGGCATTATGTTGGCTCTTCAAAGGGTTTTCATTGAGTTGATTTTGCAATAAACTTCCTCATGTCTGAGTTTTCATCTTTACTGTGTTTTTCAGTTATGCAGTCTCAAAAAGAAAATTCTTAGAACGGCAAATTTTATATTCTTTTGACTGGTCTGAGGGCTGCATTTTATTCCTTGATTAAAACACAATGGCACCACATTTACTTTAAAAAATAGACAATTAAGAATTGAAGACAAGTGAGAAGATCTTTTGCATCTGTCTTTGCAATCTTGTGGCCTGGTCAGAAACAATGGGGTTGCTTGGAGGCTCAGGAGTCACCAGGGAACTGGAATCCTTTGAGGATGTAGCTCAGCAGCACCAGCTGTGGCTTTGCTGCAGTGTGGTGGGTTTGTTAAGCAGAAATATTCTCATTTCCTGTCGTTTCAGAAAGGTTCCAGTTCATATTTGAAATACTCAGAGACAGAGGTATGTTCTCTAACCACAGACATTCAAAATCAGACAATCATAAAAAAGAAACAACTCTCTAAGGAAAGAACCCTCAGGGGAAGCAACCCTCAAACTCGCTGTAATAATTGAAAGTCTGCTTAAGTCTGGCATTAAGTCTGTTTTCACAGTGTTTCCTTCAGCTGTGGTTTTCACAGCGAGAAATTTGCATTGGTATCATGTTGGTCACAGTACCTCCTCACTGACCGGTGCAGGAGCTGTCAGTGTGGATTACATGGAGGGAAGTGAACAGGGAGACTCATCTTATCATGGCAAAGAGAAGGATTTTCCTTTGGAAAGGGAGAAATTCTTCCACCTTCTGCTTGTTGTTGGAGAGGGAGATCTGAAGAGATCGGTTGTTTTTGTCTTCTGGCTGTTTGCTCTCGAAACAGGGCCTGGGAAACAACGTGCTGTGCACATAATTCCAGCCTTGCATCGTGGCCAGGGAAAGCCCCCCCTCGTTGCTGTATCATCCTTATGCCTTAAGCTTTTGTCAGGTAGAAATTCTTCAGGAAATAATGGAAATAGTGCTCTGTTTTTAGCAGTTGGTGCTGCCCCTCTTCTTGGGGCTGACTGGTTGCCATGTCCTTGTATTGCACTGCACACACAGGCTGTGCCTTTCTTGGCAGGAATCAAATATTATTCTGGATTGAATTCTCACTCCAGAAGAAATTTGAAAAGGACAAGTGAGGATAAACTGTAGGCTGTACTGTTAAGTAGAACTTGGTGTAGGTCTGATAGCTTAAAAATGTTTTTAATGCCTTGAATTGAAAAGTATTTTGTCTTCTCTGCACTGTAGAGAATCTCATAAAAATCAGAGAAATTGTTGGGAGACCCTTTTTTCCTTGGCTTTAATACAACTTTTAAATAGCAGAAGAAGCGTTGTGATATTTTTTACAGTTTCTCTGCTGTCTTTTTTGCCTTCCCTGCAGGTGAAATAACAATGGATACAATACTGTCCCAGCTGAAGAAGCTTGGCCCCGATGAGCTGAGAGAAGAGATCGTGAGAGCAGGACTGAAATGCGGCCCCATTACTGCAACTACGAGGTTCATCTTTGAGAAGAAGTTGGCCCAGGCGCTGTTGGAGCAGCAGGGAGCACTGCAGGACACGGGATCTGCTCTGCCTCAGGAGGCTGCTGGGAATCACAACGGCCACGGAGGTGCTGCTGAGGAGCCAGACTTTGGGTACTGTGTGGGTGTGAACCCTCCAGAAGAAGATGCTGTGACACACGTGAACTGCTCAGCTCCAGCCTGTGCAGCAGGAAGTGCTGATTCACAGAGCAGTGCTCAGACACCCTCCCGAGATCCTCCGCTGTTCTACGGTGTTTGCCCAGTTTATGATGACATACTGGCAAGGAATGGTGAATACTCATTTCCCTTATTTCCAGTGATAAGCATTTTACAGGCATGTCTAAATAGCCTTTTTTTGTGTAGCAGGGAATATGAACACCACTGCCTTGGTATTGTAAGCATTGCTGACAGTATTTATTTGATCTTCTGAGGCACAGAAACACGGTTATAAGACATCCCAGGTGTTTTGCCACAGTAGTTCCTACTGGAAGGATAATCTGAGAATTTTGTGACCTGTTTCTAGGATCAAATCTGAGATTATTGAAGTAGTGTAACTTTGGTGGTTCTTTGTTGCAGAGAGAGTACATGTTTATGAAGATAAAAAGGAGGCTCTCCAAGCTGTTAAGATGATTAAGGGTTCCCGTTTTAAGGCTTTTACAAACAGAGAAGATGCTGAGAAATTTGCTAAAGGAATCTGTGATTATTTCCCATCTCCCAGCAAGTCCTCCCTATGTTTGTCACCAGTGAAAATGGGATCATTTAACAGAGGTAAGCGAGGAGGTTCATCTCTCTGCAGTAGATGTGATATAGTCTGTTCATTTTTCTGGTGAGACAAGAAGCAACAACTGCACTACCAATATACTAATAACGGGAAAAACTCAAAAGAGTGAAGCACCTTAATAAGCTGAAGTTGTTTAAAATTGAATTAAATTGTTTTAAATGAAGAAAACGTTGCTACTCTTCTAAAGCTGCAATGTGGGTCATGGTCTGCATAGATACATTGCTCAGTAGTCCATGGTCATATTTGTTAGGATTTTTTTACTCATGGACTTCAGGACTTTCAGGTTTAATAAGACACTGATAAAACCTCACAGTATATTAAAACTATACGTAATTGTTAAGTATATTTATAAGTTCAGAAGTAAAATGGTAAGCACTGATCATACTTCCCAGTGTTCCCAGTTGCTAGATTAAAGGGATCCAGGAGTCACAGAACTGCAGAAGCAATTGTTACCTCTTGCTGAATTTTGCTTTTAAGTTTGGATGGGAGTAGACTGGTAATTATAGACCTTACCAGTCCCTATTAAAGCCTGAAACAGTTTTACAAGATGATTAATCATTTTCCTCTGCCTCCCTACTACTGACTACTGGTGTATTTAAACGTCTTGTTATTGTCCTCTGTTTCTTACTCCTGTACATTAAAGATGCAAAATTAATATGTAGTTTAGATTAAAAACTTGTTTTCATGGCCTGGGTCTGAAAACAGTGATCACTGCAAAGAATGTATCTGGAAACAAGTGGTTTGTGTTTGACAGATGGCTTGTGCTCCCCTGAAGCTGAAACTGCCAACAAGGAGAGAGCCAACAGCTACAAAAGTCCACGGACTCAGGATCTCACGGCTAAACTTCGGAAAGCTGTGGAGAAGGGAGACACAGCAACGTTTTCAGAGCTGATCTGGAGTAACCCTCGCTATCTGATCGGGTCAGGAGACAATCCAACGGTGGTACAGGTAAAAAAACCCAACAAAATAGGAACATCCACATTCCTGTTTAGTGATGTGGCTTTTGGGGCCTGATAGCAGAGCTGGAAGGAATGTTTCCTACCTTTCCTTCAGGAGATCTTGTCTCTACCAGTGCGAGGTTTCTCAGTGTTCATTGATAGCAGCTGAAAATGAAGAGAAGCCAGGCGGTTGTGTGTGCTGTGTAAGTCACCCATGATGGAGCTCTCTTTGCTCCAGGAGAGCTAAAGGCACTCTGTGCAGTCCTGCAGGTGAAGAGAAGTTTTATTCAGCAGTGAAAGAATGGTCTTGTCTTCATATAGTATTGATCTCCTCCAAATAATTGCAGTCTTTTTAAAAATAGACTGATTTTTAAAGACCAGGGTAGGGCCCAGGCTGTAATGAGTTGTTCCTACAGCACTGCTTACCTCAGCACCACTATTACATTTCAAAACCATGTACGAGGTACCATTTAGCAAACACTGACAATCTTACCTAACAAATGCCTTCTGTCAGACCAGCTTTGGGAAGCTGTTAACATTTTTTGTGTAATACACCAAAGTACAGCTGAATTACATATATGTGTGTGTATATATATACACATTCTCTTGCTCTTTTCACACACTCAGCTTCCTGCCTCCTTTTATTCTCGTATCTAAATATATCTTCTTTGCCACAGCTTTGCCCTACATGTAGAAAAAGACTATAGCTGAGTGTGAGAATAATTGAATTAATTATGAGAATAATGTGGGTGTAGAGGTGCATTAGTCTTTACAAAAATATTGGTATGAGACTCAGTGTGGGAACCTTTGTGTTTTGACAGTGAAATGAGTTCCATGCATGGCTGTAAGAGAGCTGCTTGGATTTTGGCTCATCCTAACGGTGGTGGCTTTTTTTCCAGGAAGGGTGTAGGTACAATGTCATGCATGTGGCTGCCAAGGAGAACCAACCTGGGATCTGCCAGTTGCTGCTGGACACTTTGGAAAATCCCGAGTTCATGAGGCTCATGTACCCGGATGATAACGAGGCCATGCTGAAGAATCGCATCCAATACATTGTTGACCTTTACCTCAACACACCAGATAAAATGGTAAGATCTGGATGGTGACCTGGTTCTCATAGGAATGGAGGGTGTTAAGGATGTTTCAAAGTCAAATGTGTGGTATTGACCTTATCATCTTCCTAAATGCATATGAATTTTTCCCCTTTTTCCACTGCAGGGATTTGATACTCCGCTGCATTTTGCCTGCAAGTTTGGGAATTTGGATGTTGTTAATGTGCTTACCTCACACCCAGCTATTGTGAAAAATCCAAGAAACAAATATGATCAAACTCCAGCAGAAGTAAGTCTCTCCATGTCCTCAGCAAACCCAAAAATGTTATGCCTAATCAGTATTTTTCATGTTCAAATTTTAGTGAGTGCTGTAGTTAGAAGGCTTGTAGTAAGGTGCTTGTGTTATGAATAAAGTGTAAATTTTTGATAACTTTAGAAGTATTTTATGTTGACTGTATCTGTGGAAAAATTATAGATTTTATAGATGTAGATGGTTTGGTCTTCTATGAATTGAAAGTAAGAGATGGGTAGAGGCCAGTACTGTGACTGTTCAAGAACACACATTGCAGTTGATTTGAAAATGGGGTCTTATGCTTGGCTAACAACTAACATTATGTTAACAGGTAGTTTGTGAAAGAAGCAAGAATAAATCTGCAGAATTGAAAGAAAAGCTGAGAGAGTACTTGAAAGGTGTGTATGCAGAGTTTTGTGCCATATCAGATGTGTGTTCTTTGCTCTGTCCTGTCCTCTGTGCTTTCTGGAATTACAGCTGAATTTACTAATGAGATAAAGTCAGATGGGTGACTGTCTGGGTGCATCGATACCCCAGGAAGAAGCAGCAGGCTGATGTAACATAAACTCCTTAAGGAAGGTTTGTGTCATTTGTTTCAGGCCGATATTATGTGCCCCTCCTGAGAGCAGAGGACAATTCCTCAGCTCCTGTCATCGGAGCGCCGTGGTCACCGGACCAGACGGATGATGGTCCCCAGAGGGCTTCATTGAAATACCCTGGCAGCCCCAAAGATCCAGTGTTGTCCATAAGAGCTTTTGCAGGCCCCATGAGCCCCTCAAAGGTAAGGAGAGAACTTTGTATCACTCCAGTGCCTATTTTTTCCTCTTGATGAATGAAGAACCATTAGAGGATCCTGCACAGTTCCTTGGGTGGTGTAACTTGCTCCTGGTACAGATTGTGCCTCTTTTTCTTGAGGAAATTGTGTGTTAGAGAAGCACAAAAACCTGTAAATATTTTTTTATTCCTGAAAACAGAACGTGGTGTAAAGAAGAGGAATGGAAGTTCAGTCAAAAGAAAGTTTTTTTCCTCCTCTTGGAATTATTCAAAGAGCACCTTTGTCGAACCTTTCATTTCTTACAGATAATTAATTGCTGGAACTTTCTAACATGGAGCAAAGCCTTTCAAAGCAGATGTGAATCAGGTTGAAAAATCTGAACTATGTCTTTAATTTCTAACTGGATGTTAGAAGCAGTTTATCACCTCTCCTTGTTGAATTAACATTTATATATTTTCTAGGTGGAAAAACTGATGACCAAGTAGTAGGTGTTGGGATGGTTTTGGAAAGGTATTGATTGTATAGTAGAAAAGCAAAGTTTTCAGAAGGAATACTTAGATACCTGATAAGTATATTATGAAGTTATAGGTGTTTCTTTGACTCATTTGTCTAATAGGAGTGTGCTGGAAATATGACAGCTTTAGAAATGGTGAATAAATACGATGGAGGGCTTTGTGTCATCTGGTGCTTGAATGTTTCAAGACTGGGTTTTGCCAAGACAATATTTTTTTTTCTTCTAAATGATCATTTTTCTGTTCAACTGACAGAAATTTAAATACCATTTATACTCTGAGAAGTATTACTTTAGGGTGTAAACAGTTCATCATTTTGATTGCTGACAGATATTTTTAATGTCTGAATGTAATTCTTAGTCATCGTGATTTTTGTCACATGAAGTCAAAAAGTGTGGGATTGCACAAAAAAATTCCCCTGAGGCATTCAGACTTCAAAATCAACAGCAAGAATATATTCTAGTAATTGTAGTGATTCTGTGCATATAAAAATATCCCCTTTGCATCCTAGAAACCAGTGACCAGGAGAGCATTTGTAATTAAATAAAATTAGAGTGACATGGCAAAATTACAGGACACTTCTGTTTCCTGCTGCAGACAAATGAAACCAGGCATGTCTGGTGTCAGTACAGTTGATTTTCAGGTGATGGCAGGTTATGGTCTCTCTCCTGTAATGAGCAGTTGGGAGATCAAAATTGAGCAATACTGGGAGGAGTATCCAGCTTTATCCTTCATCCCTGGAGCTGAGCAGTGCCTGTGGCAGAACTTGAGTTCTTTGCCTGTGGACAGCAAACAGCTGAATGTCTTCTAGACCTTTAGGTAGATATTTAGCCGGGGCTGAGTTGCTTCCTGTGGTGGGGGTTAGGTTTTTAATTTCTTTCTGTTTTTTCAAGGCTGAAGAATTTCGCAGGCTTTGGAAAACTCCACCTCGAGAGAGAGCTGGCTTCTTTCACAATGTCAGGAAATCTGATCTGGAGAGGGGTGTTGAAAGAGTTGGAAGGTATCTAAAAGACTATCAGTATAAAAAATTAATAATAGAGCAATTAAAAGCAAACGACTGTGCTGAGAGTGCAGTTATTGCTGAACAATGTGTTGGGGCAGAAGTTACTGCAGAAATATTTAAGGAAGTATATTATAGTTGGGTTTTTACTGCATTTTGGTGTAAACACAATAGCTCAAATGTGAGACCTGGCTTCCTTAGCTTTGGCAGTAGAGATAATTGAACTGTTATTGATGGTGTATGTGGAATGTTTTCTCAAACATTGACTTGCCTAATATTTCAGAAGATGTAAAATTACACACAGCCTGCTTGTTCTGGGAAAAGGAGGGATTGTTAAAAGGGAGCAGAATGAAAAGATCCTAATACAAATGTGCTGCTTTATAAAAGCTGGGGGAGGGGGGTCCTTGCTGTTAAAACACCTTCTATCAGCAACATATGGAAAAAATATACTTTGTTAAGAGCTGACTGGATTTCATTTTTTAAAATAAGCCCTTGCTTCTTCCTACCTTCCCATTCCCAAATAGAACAAGCTGCTGAATGCAGTGTCATTCAGATTTGGTCATTGCTGTCTGATGTCTGCATCCAGTCAGCTTAAAGGTGGCAGTGTTTGTGCTGCAAACTGTAAAATAGTAGATTCAATTTGGAAAGTACTGTGGAACAAATGAGAGGATACTTTGTTTGCTGAGGATGTTCTGTGCTTTTGCAGCCTGCTGGTTGTTGCAGAACTGTGCACGTTTGTGCTCCTGCTCGTGGCTGATAGAACGTGATCAGAAAAGTTATTGTCAAACTGCTGTTTCTGTCTCCACAAATGATCCGTTTTATTTTATTTATTGCAGGGAGTTAGCTCATGAGCTGGGGTTCCCGTGGGTTGAATACTGGGAATTTCTGGGCTGTTTTGTTGATCTGTCTTCCCAGGAGGGGCTGCGAAAATTAGAAGAGTACCTGAGTCATCGTGAAATGAGCGAAAAGGCTCAGCAGGAGACAGGGGAAAATGAAACCTGCAACAGATATAAAACACCCCAGCCCTCGGGTAAGGAAAGGGCAAATGCTGCAAACAACAGGTGGTGCCAAGGGACAAGAGGGAGAGAAAAAGCTCTGCCCAGGGGAAGTCTATTCACCTGTTGTGGTTGCTATTATTAATCTGTTATCCAAACAATCTGATTATAGTGTTGGAAAAGTAGCCAACGACACTGTGAATGTAAGAGAAGTACAACAGGCTTTATTAGATGTTCTTAATCTCTCATATGAAGTACTTTATTTGATTACAGCCCCCAGATAAAATCCTTTCAGTATCTTTTCACTCAGAGCATTTGGGAATTCATCTCAAAGTACAGAATTTTTTAATCCACAGGTACAGAATAAATAACCTTTGACAATAAAAGAATAATTCTTTACAGTTGAGGATGAAAGACAAGGAGCAGAATCCAGGAAAGCTTTTATACCTTGCCATGTGTTTATGGAAACCAACACTTGTCCCAAATCTTTGTGCTCCTTCCTCCCTTTCCAGAAGGGCTCTGGTGCTGGGATAAACCTGGCCTAAGACCCTGGGGGTGGTCATTGGACTTATCACAAGGCTTTGTACTTTGGAAGAGATGAAAACTTAGGCTGTTGTGTATTAGTAACATTTCTCTGCCCTATTCTGCCGTATCCTGACTTTGTCCTTTGTTGCTGGTTAATGGTTGAAGTGGGGGGTGCAGGAAATGCAGTTCTCCAATGACTCGGATGGGAAAGGTTATTTGCAAAAAATACACAGCAATGATGTTTTCGTTTTGCATTTGCAGCTTTTAGTCAGGTTAGTTTGTGCTGTCGTTACATAAATAAAATTGGGGCTTCAGGAGATGGAATAAGGCATAAAAATTGGGTATTTGCTCCCACTTAATTTACTCAGTGCTCAGGTGAAAGCCCTTTTATGTGTTGCTCTCGATTGCTTACAGGGAAGAGCAAAAAGTCCTGCAACTCCATTTCGGTGGGGGCGTTTCTGGACGAGGATGACGATGACATGAGCTTGGAGGAAATCAAAAACCGGCAGAACGCGGCGCGGAACTTCAGCCCCCCGCTGGTGCCGGGGGAGCCCGGCATCGCCGACAGCATCGACGACATCCTGGCCGTGGGGCGGGCGGCGAACATCCTGCCCACGGCCCCCCACGGCCACAAGGCAGCTGCTCCCAGCAGGAACGGGTTCTGCAGCCCCGTGGGCACCGACAGGATCATCAGCCGCGGGGAGGAACGTCCCGCATCGCCCGTCTCCGATTTAACCCCCGAGTTTGAGAGCCTGTCCTTCCAGGAGCAGGAGCTTGCGGGAGCATCCCATAAAATCACGGAAAAAACTGGGAAGGAGGGGGTTCTGGACAAGGCCTGCTGTGCAGTGTCACTGGCGAGTTCTCCTGAGCCAGGAAAATCTGGAGAGGCCAAGTTAAGGACAGAACACAAAACGCCCTTAGAAAAGGAGAGGCTGCCCAGGCAGTCTGGGATTCTGACCAAGGAGGCACAACAGCGACAAGAACTTTCTTCCCAGAAGTTTCTCTCGAAGGCTTTGCCCACAAATGACAATTCTACGTTATTCCTGCTTGGGTAAGAATTGTCCTAATTTGAACACCTTATTTTTTCCTTGGGTTTCTGTTTGCAAAAACAAGATACTTTTGACAAAAGGTTGAGGTGATGTGACACTAACACCACTGATTGCAGTCAGCCTTGAAAACCATCTGAAAGGGCCCCAGTGCTTGTACAGAAGCCTGAACACAGAGCCAGAGGAAGAAGAGCAGTTTATTCTGAGACTTCTGTGTAATTACAGTCATTCATGAGGGGCTGCTGGACAGATTCATGGGGGAACTGTGTTTGTAGAGGAGCACAGTAATCTGTTTGCAAAGTGGTTTTTTTTAGGAATTGGGTTTTTTATTGCCTAAGCAATGCATAGCTGTCTCTCCATGCAGTTGTGTGTCTGTTGTAGGGAGCAGCCCTCGAAGCTGGATGGTGATGTGCTGGCAGCTCTGGAAGCAGCAGAGATCGATGCCCAGAAATACCCGATGATTTCCAAGTGGAAGCTCGCAGTGCAGTCCTACTCCTCCTCTGACAGGCAAAGGTATTGCTGCACATGCAGTCAGATGCTCACAGAGCTTTGTTCTAAATATTGGACTGTGTTAACTGACCGTGTTTCTGAAGTTAATCACCAGCCTTTTTGGCTCGTGTCTGTCCATAAGCAGTAGATGTGCTGTTGGTTGGTAACTCATCCTGTTGTGGATGCAGTGCAGGAACTTGTCTTGCTTTGCAGTACTGAGCTTGTGCAGAGCAATATTAATATTAAGCAATATTAATATCTTCAGGCATCTTTTTATTACTGTTTTTAGCCTTTATTACCCCAGTCCAAAGGAAGTTTGTGTGAAGGATGGTGTGTGTTAAGTTTTTTGAGAGGATGTCCATGTTTTGCCACAGGCTGCCTCTGTTGGGAGGCCTGAAGACATGTCATGCTGTTTTTATGTTTTATTTTTAATATTGATGGTTTTGGGGACCCAAAGTGACAGCTTTTCACACAAGTGGCTCTCTGTGGTAATTTTACTGACATAAAGATTTATTTCCATTGTGACAGACATTGGCCAGAACACTGAGAAGTCCCTTGCTTAGACAGACAACAGTTTATACACAGTCATGATAAAGTTCTTGGAGAACAAGAAGCTGATCCAGTGCCACACACCAGTTGGAAAGGGGGCAGGAACAGAAAGCATCTAGTGACCTGTACTGACTTGATTTTTCTCTTGTTCCTTTCAGCTTCCTTAAATGTGTGAAATTCTGCTTGTTTTAAAAATATAACTGACTGGGTTTATTGGCCACAAAATTTAGAGTAGGAGTTGGGAAGTGCAGCTGTGTTAAGGTAGCAGAGACTGGGGCAAGAGGAATGTTGTGGAAAAGGTTGAAGCAATGTGTGAGGGGGAGGGCAGATGGTGAATGGAAGGGGAGATGCTGCCCCGTGCTAAGAACTGGGAAAGAAAGCAGCTTCCTTTAGTCTCTATATTCCAAACAGGGCACTGAAATAGGGCCAACAAGTACTGGAAACACAAAAGTCACCAAGATTTCTCTGTGACTGAAAGTGGAGTTAGAAACGGGAAATTATTTTCATACCCTGGTTGACAGGAGGGTGTCCTTCTACCACTTCACTTCTCGAATCCTCTCATCCCCTCATCTTTTGACTAATTTTTTGAACGAAACAATCTGATTGTCAGGATGCTTACATCCTTATTCCACTGTCTGAAAGGGGCTAAAATGTAGCTGAGGTTTTGGGTGTAATCCCTGTTCCATCAGGTGAGTAAATTCGTGCAGTTCTTTGACAATGCCAAGGCTTGCTCTGTCACCTCCTTCATTTTGCAGTGCTGCCTCTGCCAAAAGGAATGACACTCCATCCCTTGGAGTTTTAGGGATGTGAGATTTTGACTGCAAAAATCAGGCCTAACAATGCAGATACCAGCAGGTCTGTCAGAGGGAAATGATTTTCCAAGGGTTTTTAATAAGCTGGGTGAGTGTGGATCGGTTACAGTTGGGTGTGGGTGTATTGAAATCTTACCAAATATTTGTACCTGGAGCATATTTTCTCTAGTGGCTCTTAAGTGGCACATCTTAAGATGAGTCATATGTGTCACATATAAAAGAAAGAACAGATGCTGGAAACAGCCTTTGGTCACCCTGCTTTGCTTAACATAGAATTTAGAGAAAAAAGGAAAGGTTTGCACAGAAAAGAGTTTTTAATTTAACAAAGATATTTTGCTCTGCTTTCAGAGAAATTTTAAATTCTGGTTCTTATTAAGAAAAAGTCTGACTGTGTATAGTGATTTAAAGTGCTGCTCTCCTTACCACAGCTTCCTTTAAAAAATGCAAAATCACTTCTTCTTTCTTGCAGTTGGCCCAGTCCAGCTCTGAAGGCGAAATTCCGGTCCCAAACCACCCCTGCTGGCCTTCCAAGTGGTTCAGTGTATCCCAGCTCCGGGAGGAGCAGTCCCCTGGCAGGGAGTCCGGGCAGACACGGCAGTGGCAGCTCCTTCCCTGCAGAGCTGGGCAGTCCCGGGCGCTACAGCCCGGCCTGGGTGCCCCCGGCCCTGCTCCAACCGCGCCACCGGGCAGAGCCCCCCGCCCTCTGAGCACCTGGGATCCCCCTGCTCCGCTGCAGGAAAAAACTACACTGTTACTGAAGTGACACGAGGTTTGTACTCGGCTATTTATTTCTCCTCAGTTGAGGACAACTGTATGTTTAAAAAAAAATGGGATATATGTCTTAATGCCATAGACGAGATGATAGATCATTACTGGTGACATGCAAGAAGTTCATGACAGTGCAGTTGTCCAGTAGCTACAAATTAACCCTTGTTGCCACTAACACGGTGAGTTGAGCCCTCCCTTAGCAATGGTGGAATTTGCCAGCACTAGTTAATTTTATTGTAATGAACACATGGCCCTCTGCTCCTTTCTTTACTATGAACAGGCGAGGAAAAGCATCCTCAGCAAACAGAACCTCAGGAGAGGAAAGGGATGGCAGGAAGGGAGATGTTCTCCTGCTTGCAGGGGGAGCCCTGGGAATGAAAAGACCAAAACCTGCCTGGGTAATGCAGGGAACATTTCCTAGTAGGGAATGTGGCTGTGGAACCCTGTGCATAAGCAGAGTTTGGAGCCAGCAGCCTGGGCTGGGCAGTTCCTCCCCACACACTCACCTGTCTGTCCGTGTGTTCGTGTTGTTACCGACACCAGGATCTCCCCAGTGCTGTAAAATTGCTGGGATTCCTTTCAGTGGTAGAGTGAAGATTAAGGAAAAAAAAAAACCCACATAAAAACTAGCTGATTTTTTTCCCCCCACAGAAGCTTTTAACATTAGCAGATTTTAGTAGTTATTGCACAAAAGCACACGAGCAATAATCTCAGCAAATTTACCAGCAAGATACCTTAATGGTCTAGTTTGTAATGTAGTAGTGTGGTAGCCAGTGGCCCATGAGGCAGCTCCTTATTTCCCAACTGCTAAGAGAGACGAGGACTAAAAATACTTTTCTTGAAATCTAAGCTTTTACTGTGTCTGCAGCCTTGACGTGGTAATGAGTTTTTGTTACAGCAGTCGATAGTTTTATTCTCCAGACTGCTGTAAGAATGACTTGTTTGGACAGCGCAACGCTGGGAGTGAAGAAAGCTTTTCAAAACTCCAGAGTTTTCCCTATCAAGCCTCATGGTTGTAATGTTGCATGAAAGGCTTCCTGAAACAGAGCTCTGAGGTTAAAAAAAAAAAAAGAAAAAGAAAAAAAAAAGACCTTATCTGTTGTTCCAACATAAATGTGGAGAGAAGGGGAGGCCCTGGCACGGCTGTGCCGGTAGGAAGGGACGGATCAGGAGTGTTGGTGCCACACAGGGTGTGAGGAAGCACCGTGGAGCTGCCAGGGAAGTGCTCCAGGCCTAAAGACAGCAGTGGGAGGCAGGAGGGGTCAGCCCAGTCCCACCAGTCCCACCAGTGCCGGGGCGAGTCGGGCCCCGCTCACACGGCAGTGACTGTTCCGTACACAAACCGTGCACCCTCCGTAGGACAAACTACAACACTGCACTTAATGCTTTGGCAAGTTCAGTAGTGCCTTTTGTAATATATTTTTTTAATTAATTAAATTTTTGTTCTTTTAGAAGTTGAAAAAAAAAAAAAAAAGTGGCATCCACTTACTCTGGGCAGATAAAAGAGTTTTTTTCACTGGGCTTTCTGAACAGGATGTCTTTTTATGTCTCTTAAGTTTGATTATCTGGTGCGATAGCTCTCCACTGGGGGAGAGACTCCTCTTCTAGAAATTAAAAAAAAAAAAAAAAAAAAAGCTTATTTTGCTCTTTTGTTAAAATTAAAAGTCTAGTTCCATTGAGCTGGACATTAGAAAGAGCTACTTTACAGAAATGCCTCTCACTCAGTCATATTCCACACACCAAGCAGGGGCTTGGGTGGGTGTCATGCTTTAAGAGACATTTTCGAAAAAAGCAAAACAAAAAAAAAAAACTCACAAAGATGACCTGCTGTTACCAAGTACATTAACTGACTCTTTTATACAGTTTTTTTTTGCTGATGGTATTTTTTTTTAATCTGTTTTTTTGATGCTGCAAGTTCCATGGTCTCAAAGATTTGAAGGTCCCACATACCTACAGTTTTACCTTGAGAGGTTTAGGGTTTGTTTGGAGGTTTTTTGGGGGCAGTTGGTTGGTTGGTTTGGGGTTTTTAAAATAATTTAACATTAATAAGTTAAGTCTTTGTCATTCTGGAGAAAGGACTCGGCTCACACCCTGTTCCAGCCAGACTGAGGGGTAAGTTGCTGCAGGGGCAGCTGCTCTTCTCCACACTGGGCCTTTGAGCAGCATCACCCTTTCACTGAGAGTCTGTTCCTGAGCCAGGAGACCAGTACTAACACTCTAGTTCTTTGGCCTTTTTACTGTTGTTACGCTTTATTTCATGTTTTTAATATTGAACTCTTTGTCACCTGTATGTACGTGTAGCCAGACACCTCCACACAGCCCCCACCCACCCACCCGTCCCTTTCACTTTGTCATTTTGGTTTGGTTCTCTCGAGAGTATTTTTTTAACTGTGTTCTACAATGTGCATTAGTCCAGTGGTACTGCAGAGCTCATTTTTCTAACCATGTGTTACTTCAGCTGTGACAAAAATAGCAATTTCTGTAGCGATTGGATCATTTGTGATTGTGAAGAGAGCCCTTCAACACTGAGCCTGTGGAGACACTTTAAATCAGAGTGATAGTGCTTGAATTGTGTTTTCTTGGCCAAAAGTTCACTTTTAAAGGTGCAAAAGATGAGTTGTGTTTTTGTTGGTTGTTTTTTTAATTAGCAAAAAGTGTCATGTTAAAAATGCAGAACAACCCCACTTTCTATTAAAAACCAAATGAACAGCTGGAAGCGGCCCCCTGTGTGCAGTGTGTGGGGCAGGTGTGGTGATACCTCGACAGGGTGAGTCTGGCTGGGCCAGACCTCGCTCACACAACTCCCTCATCTGTGTGGGTGTGCAGTGACACTGCACTGCACCCCCCGAGACTTAAAAGCACTGCCTTGCAGTGCTGAAGAGACAGAAACTCAGAATTTGGGAAAAAAATATATATTTAAGTTCCATCCTTTCCCCTCCACCTTAACTGGCACCAAAACTTGTTAATTTCTGTCCCTCTGCAGAGAGGTGTTGTGTGTCTTCTGGTTGCCCACCAAGAGCCTGACAGAGGGGGTGTGAGAGAGTGTGTGTGTACACACAGATAAAAATACCCAGCATGTGCATCTTACTGCTGTTGGTGCTCCTGTTCCACGGGGGGTGACACAGCCCTGTGCTGGCTCTTAGCCCAGGTTTACATTTCAGATGGTTGGAGCTGGAAGGACAAAGCTGGTAGATGGAGCGTTGCCCTCAGCGGTGTGGGACAGTCCCTGAGCAGCTCCAGCCCCACCTGCTCATGCAGCCACTCGGCTGAAGAGAAGGAAAGACAGACAGACCAAGTATTTTATTCAAAACTTTTAAAAAGTTCATAGACAAAACCTGATAAATTATTCTCATTGCATCAATGAGAGATAGGTCATGATGGTTCCTCTTGCCCCCACCCCCTGCACTACACAGCGATCTCAGTTTGTTCCCCAACCTTGTCCTGCTGGGATCAAACCAGCCCTTAAACCCTGGTGTGCCCCCATTATGCTCCCCCCAGCTCTGCCCAACACCCTGATTGGTAAGAGAACCTGGCAGTTGTGTTTGCTGTCCCCAGGGCAGGCTGTGCACACAGTGACATTTTCCCAGACTGCAGCTTTCAACTGAGCCAGGTTATTCCAGGGGTGCAGGTGCCCAGCGAACAGCCTTGAGCTGGAATGGTGCTGAGCCCTCCCCTCAGCAGGGTCAGAGCTGGGGGGTGGAGGCACTTTCTGCCCCAGGCCTGTCCCACACATCGGCCCAGAGATGCCATCCCACAGACCCCCGGGCACCCCTGCAGCAAGAGCAGCTCCTGCAGCCCCCTGGACCTGCAGCACCACTCCTGCAACTCAGGGGGGCCATTTCTGTACTGTCAGCTATCAACAAACACAAACCAGTGGGACAGAGCACTCAGCAACTGAAAGCACTTTCAGAAGATTGCTGCTTTCCTTCCATCTTACTGCTACAGACTCACCTCTACAGACTTTTCCAGACCACAGTATAAGTTAAAGGCTTTACAAAACTGAAAAATATTGTTCAGAATACCTTCAAGGACATCCTGAGGATGGCAGAACACTTAATATAAGCAGCAGTTAAATCTAGCACCACAGCTCTGAGGCAAATGGGGGTTTTACCCTCTGCTTTATGCTCGTAACCTCCAGGCACAGTTTACATGGGCTTTTTGGGGGCAGAAAACAATGACACAACATAAATATACACACTTAACAGCTTACAAAACTGAAGCTTTATCCCTTTGTCCTTTGAACAGCAGAATACCCTGTTTGTCACTTCTGCAGGAGCTGTGACGAGCTGGCTCATCTTTTGTTTTAGCTGCAGTGAGATACGAGGCTGCTCCCACACCAATCACTTTCCTGCACAAGAAAAATATCCACAGGAGCAAGCTTTGGTTAGAGGAATTCACGGCAGGGCGGGGAAAAAGTCAGTGCTCTTGCAACCGCTGAGCAGACATTCAATCTCAGTATTCCACAGCTCAGCTCTGAGTTCTGGGAATACTTAAGGACTGGACAGCTTCAGGCTTACAAAGGTTTCTTCTCTTCTGGACTGAAAGGCAGATATGAATATGAAGGAGGCAAGGGGCTAAAGGACATTTTAAGACAGCATCACACCCCAAGGTAACAAAAACTCTAGTGGTACTGTGGCAGAACGTGCTAGTGCAAAGAGGCTGAGGCAGCTCCTGGACAGCCATCCCTCCTGCTCCTTCAGGTGCGAGTGATTTTGTCAGGGGGCATGAATCCTGTGTCCCCCAGCGTTCGCAGGGCCACCCTCCCGTTGGGGCGGATCACCAGGTGGGTGATGCTGCCGTTGTTGAGAGACAAGCGCAGCCAACCTTCTGGGGGGAACTGCAGCGCCCTGGGGAAGAACACACAGATAAATTACATCAACATGCCTGCACAGCATCACCTTCGGCCCCACAAGAGGGAGGGAAGGAAAAAAAAAAAAAAGGTTGGGCAT